AATAACAATTGAAAAGGATTTCCCAGGACAGGGTTGGTTGAAGAATGATGGTGAGTGACCTATGCTCCTTCATGAGGAGTAACAGGCGTAAGTAAGTAAGAAATTAAGTAAGTAAGTAAGTAATAAGGAATCTGCTAACCTATATCTCCTTAACATTTTAGTAGACTGAAATGTTAGTTGTTATTCACTTGAATTACGTGTATAATGTTTGAAGTATACTTCATTTTTTAAACTTTGTATTTGGATAATTTATGCTCCTTTTAGTTTCATAAGCTATTCTATTCAACACACAGTGATCAGTTGAATGTATATATATATCAGACAACTGTACGATATAATGAAGAAACTGGACGGCGTATACTCCTTCACAAGGAGTAACAGGCGTAAGTAAGTAAGTAAGTAAGTTTTATCTGTTTAAACGTTTATTTCAATGTTTTAGTCTTGTATCCAATTAATAATATGAATGTGTATAATCTAATTAATAAATGATAAGTATGATTTATTGTATGGTAACTAAGTGACACGGGTTAATATTGAAAAAAAATAATGATGTAATCATTTGATCAATAAGATCCGAATAAGAATGAATTCAATATAACAATAACATGATCATGATAACAATCATCGATTGAGAATAACATTCGAGAATGTATACTTTTGATGTTTAACTATAATGAATTAAGAGAGATTTAAGACCATATGAAAAGATGATCAAGCATAGCAACAAAGAATAAAATAAGAGAGAAAAAAAATACTAAGAGAAGAATAAATACAAACAAAATACAAATGGAACTTAGTTTAAGATAATGGAAAAGATAGTGTAAATTGTTTTTTATAGGAATAGATATGATATTCAATTGAACTTATATCAATAAACAAGCTTATTCATCATAGCAATTCGTTTATGTCAATATGGTTTTATAACTCCATATGGAAAGTGTGGTGTGAGCTTACTTATATCCACATAAGTAGTATATAACTATGATCAGAAATAGAATGTATTCTAATAGAAGATCGAGAAGGAAAGAACGGGAACAGAAAGCAATTGATGTGAAGATGCACAAACAATGAAATCTGAGACGATGGATTGATATTTTGCAAATTAACTATTTACTGTGTGGTTCTCAGATTTTGGTGAGATGTTCTGTAATTTTGTGTTCAAATACATTCGGTTGGCTCCACTCGTGTTCTTGTTCATTACAAAAATACTGAAATATTTACGTTTTTTTTGTTTCACTTATTGTTCGAATTGATTACTAACATATGCTACTTATTTTACCCAACTTCGTAGAAACTAGGGTAACGTACTTTTAAGTAATTCACCGTTGAGATAATAATTTATGGATGATCTTTGAGCGACACCAAAGTGACCTTGAAAGTATTCACCTACTTACTACGGTTAAATAAGGGTTAGACAGCTGTGTGAGGAGCTGAACTTTTAGGAAATCTGAGTATGAGATGGTAATTGTGTTATACGATAACACATAAAAGCTTTTTGACACCTCTTCTGATCTTCAAAATCATCTGATCATGAATTATATTAAGGAAGAAAGCTTATCCATTAGAGACTTATGTTTCTTCTTTATTTTGATGCCTGAATATCATTTTATATTGATGATATATAATTCTATCTGAGAATTTAATTACTGAGATTTTCGGTTTTCTATGAACTGGTATCATATTATAGAACCAATAGAAACAAGAATACACTGAACAGTCGTTTTATCTAACTTTAAATTTCCTCAATATTGATTATTCATAACCCAATTAATGATAGAATTCAAGATCGTGATCAAATAAGATATAATGAACTGATACCATTTGTAAATGTGAAACATTCTCTTCAGAATCAGTGGATAAAGTCATAATAACTTCATCATATAACCTGTAATTTTCTCGGTTGTACTCAATATAGAGATGTGATCGAGCACTGGTAATGAGTTGTAAAGGAGAACGAAACACGTGTTCAATTCTCTTTGACTTTTAATGTTTTTCCATTTGATATCAGTTCATGATGAAGTAATAGATCACTATGTAGTGTATGCTACTTATGTCGACAGACATAAGTAGTATGTAACACTAACCAGAATTAGAATGTCTAGCAGCAGAAGGTTGAGAAGATCAAATCAAAGAAAACAATAATGTCAACAGAGAGTAATTGTAATGATAACAGGTATGAAGGAATGATGAAGTTTGTAAATGACAACTGATGGATAATGTATGGGTATTTCATATTTTATGAAGACGTTCAGTAATTTATATTAAAAAATAGTTTTATTGTCCCCAACAATTCTTCGTTCACTACAATTATACTAAGCAGTCGATACTTTCATTTTGAATACTTACTTACGCCTGTTACTCCTCATGGAGGAGTATAGGCCGTCCAACAGCACTCTCCACCCTAAACTGTTCTGCACATTTCTCTGAAGTTCCTTCCAGTTGCTATTTATCCTTTCCATGTCTGTTTCCGATTCCCGACACAGTGTGTTTAACAACCTTCTTCTTTTCCATTCCCCTTCAGGATTCCATGTTAGTGCTTGGCTCATGATGTAGTTTGGTGATTTTTTCAATGAATGACCTATCCACTTCCAATGTCTTCTTAATTTTCTCTTTCGATGGAAGCTGTTTTATTCTCTCCCACAGTAGACTGTGACTGATGGTATCCGGTCAATAACGGACATTGAGTATCTTGTATAGACAACTGTTTATAAATACTTATACCCTTTTGATGATGGTTTTGGTAGTTCTCCACGTTTCAGCTCCGTATAATAGAACTAACTGTCTTGACGTTCGTATTGAAGATTGTGACTTTGATATTGGTTGATGGTTGTTTTGAGTTCCATGTGTACTTCAATTGTGGGAATGTGGCCCTTGATTTGTTAATCCTCGCCTTTACGTCTTCATCTGATCCTCTTTGTTCATCGATGATGCTTCCTTCATTTTGAATACTTTTTAATTAATCTTTATATGAATATTTACTCTATGCTTATTCATCTTTCAATTCAACTAATGAAAATCAAGTGCCATTTATCTGTAGTAAATTAGAAAAGTATAAGTATGATCTAATGAACGTTGTTATCCATTAATATTGAAGTTAATTTAGGATGAAATAAACTGATCAATTGCTCAGCGAATTTGATCCATAAACAAATAATAATTTAATCACGACCTAAATTACAGATGTAAAGGCGAGAATACGCAAAGCAAGGATAGCATTCCTATAACTGAAGAACATATGGAATCCAAAACAACCATCAACCAATATCAAAGTCAGAATCTTCAATACGAACGTCAAGATAGTTCTATTGTACGGAGCTGAAACTTGGAGAACTATCACAACCATCATCAAAATAGTACAAGTATTTATAAACAATTGTCTACGTAAGATACTGAATGTCAGTTTGCCGAATATTATCAGTACCAGTCTATTGTGCGAGAAAACAAAACAGCCGTCATCTAAAGATCAAATTAAGAAAAGATGTTGTAAGTGGATAGGACATACATTAGGAAAATCATCAGAATTCATCAGGAGGCGAGCGCTAACATGGAATTTTGAATAAAAATGAAAAAGAAGAACACCAAACAACACACTACGTTGATAATTGAAAGCAGACGTAAACAAAGATGAATAACAACTGAAAAGGGTTTTCCAAGACAGAGTTGGATAGACAATGATGATGGGTGACCTATTCTCCTCCACAGGGAGTAACAGGCGTAAGTAAGTAAGTAAGTCAGTAAATTAAAATGAAGATTTAAGATCAATTTTCAATTTCATTTTTAACGTCTCAATAAGTCACTTATTACTTACTTACTTTACTAACGCCTGTTACTCCCAATGGAGCATAGGCCGCAGACCAGCATTCTCCAACCCGCTCTGTCATGGGCCTTCTTTTCTAGTTCCATCCAATTCTTGTTCATTTTTCTCATGTCTATTTCCATTTCTCGGCGTAATGTGTTCTTTGGTCTTCCTCTTTTCCTTTGGCCTTCAGGATTCCATGTGAGGGCTTGTCTTGTGACGCAGTTGAGTGCTTTTCTCACTGTGCGTTCTATCCGCTTCCAGCGCTTCTTCCTGATTTCTTCCTCCACTGGGATCTGGTTTGTTCTCTCCCACAGTACGTTGTTGCTGATAGTGTCCGGCCAACAGATCTGAAGTATTTTGCGTAGACAACTGTTAATAAACACCTGTATTTTCTGGATGATAGCTTTTGTAGTTCTCCAGGTTTCTGCCCCATACAGTAGAACTGTCTTGACATTTGTATTGAAAATCCTGACCTTGGTGTTGGTTGACAGTTGCTTTAAGTTGCAGATGTTCCTCAGTTGTAAATATGCTGCTCCTGTTTTGCCGATCCGCGCCTTCAAAAAGAATAATTTTTCCTGGTTAGCGTTTTTTTACCGAGTTAGTTTTCTACGGGATGGGGACGCTAACCCCATGCCCAACCCTCCTCCTTTATCCGGGCTTGGGACCGGCAGTAGCCCCCGGAGGGACTCCAGGCGGAGTTAATTTACTTTAATTAAATGAATGACATGTCAATATGAAATTGTAAGCAACATTTCTATATTACGAATATCAATGACAAATACATTACAATAAGTTTTTTTTGTTGAGTAGTTTTTATACCTTGGTAATATTACCCTAGTTACTTAACATCATCATCATCATCACCACCACCACCACCACCATCACTACCATATATGTTTACTTCATTCACTTATAATGTATTTGTATATATGTGTGTGCGTGCACGCGTGCGCGCATGGATATAAAATACACTTTTTATCTTTCAGACAAATGATCATGTGTTGTCACATAGAAACAATAAATGAACACATGTGAAACCTTCATTCTATTGATTAGTATCATGAGTCAAAAAAAAAGAAAAGTATTTTCTATTGGTTATTTGAAAATTGTGCAAAACGAATTTAAAGTTGATCATTCACTTTACTTTCTTTTTTTTTTAGAAAAAACAGACAAAACAATAAAAAGTTATATTCCTTAAACAATGCAAAAATCTAAAATTACTAATCGATTATGTAGACTACCTGGTCGTTTAGATGGGAAATTAGTTATTGTCACTGGTGCAAATATTGGTTGTGGACTTGAATTAAGCGGTGAATTAGCACGTCGTGGATGTACTGTAATTATGGCATGTCGAGATTTAGAAAGAGGATTTTTAGGAAAAGAAGTTCTACTTGATCGATTTGGTGAAAGAAGTCAAGAGAAATGGAGAAAATCACCAGCTGGTCCAGGAGTTGAACCATTTCTTGATGTTATTAAAACAGCACAGGTAACTTGTATAGAATTTAATTTTTAAAAACAAAATTGATTAGTTATGTAAATGATGTTGGTTAAGTTAAGTGGATGATTTTGATGAAGTTTTGTTCTCTTAGCTGGATGGTTTGGTTGTGGAGCTTTCATTGTTGTTTTGAAAGACATTATCAGCACAAATTTCACATAGAAGTCTATCTGAAGTTTGTATTGATGATGTCGTTCGGAAGAACGATGAAAGTTCCATGACTAAACCATCCAACTCAGAGAACAAAACTTCATCAAAATAATCCGCAGTATAATAACCACAGGGAAAACATCAACAGATATTGAAACCACTAAACACGATGTTTCAAAATATCAACTCATTTACTACCACTGTGAATTATAAAACATTCCCGAATCTCGGCAATAATTACATAGTGTTTCACCAGGATATGTGAAATCCTTCAGAGACAACAGTGAATAAATAAAACGAGATGCCGAACGTATTCAACTAGGAAAAGATTAAATTTTGTAAAACTAGTATTCTTCCATAGGTGTCTTCGAAATATTGCTCGTATATCCTGGAACCGTCGAGTAAGTAATGCAGTTGTTAGGAAACGGGTACTAGGTAAGGATGGCAAGTCAATTAATGACGTAGTGAAACTTCATCAGTTGAGATGTCTGAGACACGTGTTACATATGCCCAATGACCGACTGTCTCGACGTGAGATGTTCAGTGGTATAGGAGTAGGTTGGAAGAAAGCTAGAGGCGGCCGGATCAAAACATGGCACAAGTCCCTGACAAGTGGACTAAGCCATGTTGGTAGGTATAGACTACATGGTTGGGGATTGCGAGATGATAACAACCGTTGGTTAGAGACCTTGTATGACATGGTTGATAATCGTTTTCAACGGCTCAGGTGCATCCACTCTTTGTGTTCTCTCAAATTCTAATCTTCTGAATTCTTCATGTTCTTTATTTTCTCTTTCCAAATTTATTTCACTGAATTATACTCCTTGAATAACATCTTCAAACCCTTATCTTTCCGATTACTAACTATACTCTTACTATCTCTACCACAATGGGATTTGAGTCGACAATGGTATCTGTGTGATAATGTGGTATCTTAACTTCAACTGATATACGTACGTACGAAGTTCTACGTTGCTACTGACTGATTGACTGACTGAACTTTTGTAAACATACAATAGAAACACTCCCACTGGCACATTGTACATATAAATTTTTCCAATGTTAAAGAAAACATCACGATGGTATCATAGATGTTCCAAATCGATATAAGATATTATTGTCATTTCTCTACATAGACCGTTTTTATTTACCATGGTACTATGAAAATACTCATTACAGCTATACAGAATGTATGTAGAGTAAGTTACTTACTTAGTTACAGCTGTTACTCCTCGTTGAGGAGTATAAGCAGCCCACTAACACTCTCCATACAACCCTGTCCTGGGTAACCCTTCCAGTTCTTTCCAGTTGTTATTCATCCTTTTCATATCTGTACCGTAAATTACTCTCTTGTAATTTTCCAATGTTTTTGTTTTCTTTCTTTCTTTCTATTTTTAGTTAATTGTTGAACATTTAGATTTAGCTTGTTTAGAATCTATTCGTCATTTTGCTAAAAATATTTTAAGTCAATATACACGATTAGATATATTAATCCATAATGCTGGAATGATGGCTACTAGTTACATGGAAACACATGATGGATTTGAATTACAAATGGGTGTTAATCATTTAGGTCCTGTATTATTAACTGAATTATTATTACCATTATTATATAATGGTGCACCATCACGTGTTATTGTAATTGCTTCAAATCTATATCAACAAGGTGATATTGATGTGAATAATTTAAATTTACGCGGTGAACAATATGGACCATTTAAAGCATATAATCAATCAAAATTAGCTAATGTTTTATATGTTCGTGAATTAGCTAAACAATTAGATGGTTTAAAAGTGATACCAATGGCTGTACATCCTGGTGCAGTAAGAACAGAAATATCAAATACAGGAGATCATAGATATCAGGTAAGAAAAAGAATATTAGATAATTTATGTATATAATCATGAGTATGTTTATTATTAGGGAGGTTGATTTTGAATACAGTGGTTTTGAGTGCTGTTACAGGTATGAGGGCGGTTATCAATTCCAGATTGTTCACATCGTAGAAGAGTTCTTCTGTAGGGACTTGAAAAGGAAATTGGATTAGAGGTGGTTTTAGTGAACTGAGAGCATGACTACAGTGTCCAAGGAACAACTGCTTGAGGTTGGTCACACACAACTTTTTGTGTTAGCTCCATACTTATTGACACCTAACCGCCGGAGACGGATATCCGTGGGTATTGGGTGTTCATCTTCTTGTGCTAATGAGGTATGGCAACTTGGACCGATGCATAAATGTGCCTGGTCCTACGTTGTAGCTGACTGACTGTGTTTAATATCAAGGAGATAATTGTTTAGTAAAACTTCATGAATATTTAGTAACCAACGTGATAACAATAAGTTAGAATTTTATCAAGTTATGAACTGATTAAAGTTAAAAATGTGTACTGTTTGATCTCAAATCAATTGTTCAATTGCATTGTACTTGTCATAAAACCTGAAGTTCCACGGAAATCTAGTCTTTGTGAGGTTATTGTCGTATATTGTTGAGGTTTCTCAAACTAAAATAAAAGAAAGTTGTCTCATACTTCATGATTTTCAATGGTGTTCCCTGAAGGATGTTAAGCTATGATGAAATTAGTCCTATCCATTCACAGCTCTTCTTCCTGATTTCTTCCTCCACTGGGATCTGGTTTGTTCTCTCCCATATTAGGTTGTTGCTGATAGTGTCTGACCAACGATCCGAAGTATTTTGTGTAGACAGCTGGTAATAAACACTTGTATGTTCTGGTTGACGGCTTTCGTAGTTCTCCAGGTTTCTGCCCCATACAGTAGAACTGTCCTGACGTTTGCATCGAAAATTCTGACCTAGGTGTTGGTTGACAGTTGCTTTGAGTTCCAGATGTCCTTCAGTTTTAAATATGCTGCTCTTGCTTTACCGATCCGTGCTTTCGCATTTGCATCAGATCCACCCTGTTCATCAATGATACTGCCTAAATATGTAAAGGATTTTACATGTTCCAAATCTTCTTCGTCAATTGTGATTGGATTGGTTTATGCTTTGTTGTATCGGAGAATCTTGCTTTTCGCTTTGTGTATATTGAGACCTACTGCTTCAGAGACTGCTGCTACACTGGTCGTCTTCTCCTGCATTTGTTGTTGCGATTAGGATAGGAGGGCCAGATCATCTGCAACGTCTAGATCGTCCAGCTGCATCCTAGATGTCCATTTTATCCCGTGCTTCCCCTCAGATTTTGACGTCTTCATGATCCAGTCGATCACCAGGAGAAAAAGAAAGGGTGAGAGTAAGCAACCTTTCCTGACACCGGTCTTTAGTTCGAACGGCTTTGTCAACTGCCCTCCATGCACGATTTTACAGTGTAGTCCATCATATGAGTTCTGTATGATATTGACTATCTTCTGAGGCACGCCGTCAGGTTGAAGAAGCTTCCACGCTATCAAATGCCTTTTCGTAGTCAATGAAGTTGATGTGGAGCGATGAATTCCATTCAATTGATTGTTCCACAATGATCCGTAGAGTTGCGATTTGGTCTGTACACGATCTATCCTTAAAGAATCCTGCCTGTTGGTTACGAAGTTGGGCGTCTACGGAGTCCTTCATCCTGTTTAACAATACCCTGTTGAAGACTTTACTCGGTATTGAGAGAAGAGTGATGCCCCTGTAGTTATCACAGTTGCTGAGATTGCCTTTCTTCGGTATTTTGATCAGAAGTCCTTCTTTCCAGTCTGTTGGTACTTGTTCCTCATCCCAAATCTTATTGAAGAGAATGTGGAGTATCCTTGCAGTTGCCGCTACGTCTGCTTTCAGTGCCTGTGCTGGAATGTTGTTTGTTTCCGCTGCTTTGTCGCTCTTGCTTTGTCTGATGGCTATGCTTATCTCTTGAATTTTTGGCGGCTAACGCTGATTGGGAGGTCCGTGGGTGCTACTTCGACGTTGGATGGGTTCAGTGGGGCTGGTCGATTCGAGAGTTCTTTGAAGTAGTCTACCCACCTCTTTCGCTGTTCTTCGATGTTGATGATTACTTTGCCCTCCCTGTTTTTCACTGGTCGTTCTGGCTTGCGGCGATTTCCAGAGAGTTTCTTTGTTATGTCATACAGTTGTCTCATATTTCCTCCTCTTGTAGACAAAAACTGAAAATAATGATCTTTTTTCAAGCGTTGGAAATAATTAAATTCGCTTGATGTTGTTTACTTGCATCTTTTGTGGAGTAATCATCAACTCTGAGATTCAGGTATAGCCAGCTGACGAGTCCCAAATTAGGACGAAACGCGCGTCCTGCATTCCATTGTTAGCTACTATTCATCTTTGCCTATAAAGTTTGTGACTTAAGGCAATATCGAAACAAACCACACAAAATGCACATATGCCAACAAGAGAGTGATCAATTGCAGTTATAAACAACAATGAGAAGATAAAAGCAAACAACACCAAGTGAATCTGAACTTCACCTCATTACACAAGCGAATGTTTATCACAGTTCAGTAGCTAGGTGAATAACGCGATGGCATTTAAAACGATCGGTATTTGGTTTGAGTCCTGGAGTGGATATGAAGTCTAGGATATAGATACATCTAGCTGATGAGTCCCAAATTAGGACGAAACACATGTCCTGGATTCCACTGCTAGTCACTATTCATCTTTGCTGAGAATCATTGTTTACAATGGAAAATAATAATTGTTTTAGTTACTTTTCACTCTTTTTTTATCTCATTTAATAAACAAATGATTCATTAAAAAAAGAACTATTCCTGAGTGATATACTTTAAAAACGAAGAATATTTGAGTGAACAATTGCGTTTCAATAACTTCATCATCAGGCTCTACAGTTATAAGTCCATAATGATTGTGATATTTTACAAAGGCCAAGAATAAGGCATGTATTAATGAATTTGACAATGTTATGTGTTAAAAATGGTGAACGTTTGCATCTGTTACGATATATATATACTTCAAAAAGAAAAAATTGTCATATTTGCAAATTAGAAAGGTCATTCAATAAAGGTCAGTAAATGGTTCAGTCACAATAAGATAATACTACTATTGCAAAATTGAAAATATAATATAATATTCAGTCTAGGTATTTGGTGATCCAGTCGTAGACCAGGGTAAACATACAGGCTGGATATATTTTTTCTGGATGCATAAATTAGGTCTTCTGGAGTTGATCCAGATGGCTTCGGTTGTGTAAAGTAGTCGTAATCTAGCTCCTTGAGGTAGATATTTTGGAACTTGATATAAAACAGAGAAAGCTTCCTCTATTTTAATATGATGTTCACTATCTACCAAGTGAGAAAGAATGGTGCTGTTAATCGATTTGGTGACTCCTTTTCCCAACCATGCTGGTACATGTTCACGAACACGCAAGGATAAAGCCGTCTGAGTACGGCCTATGTAACTAGCTCCACAGGAGCAGTTGAATTGGTATACACACATGGAGGAGCCCATCTTCGGTAACTTATCCTTGATTAGTTGTGTGAGTACTGGCTTAGTCGAGAAAGTTATTTGTAACTTGGCGGCATGAAACGTCCTCTCGACAGATATTTTGAGTCAACGTGTTAGAATATCACCCGCTATGTCGCCTTTAAAGTCAAGTTTCAGATATAAGGTCTTTTTACTGACCGTGTCGCAATGTCTTCTCTTTTTAATACTTTGTACGAGGTATTTTTTGACGAAATTATCCGGATAGCCATTATTACGTAATGTGTTCTTTAGTATAACTATTTCTTCCTCCACACTGTCTTCAGAACATAATACCTTGATTCTGTGGTTGAGACACTCAACCAAATTTATTTTATATTGCAGAGGTGTGAAGCTTTGGAAATGGGTATACTGACCCGTCCATGTACAGTTTCTAAACATATTTCGCTTTATGGAACCATCTATCCTTCTAGAGAGTAGGACATCTAGAAAAGCTATGCTATTGTCCTTTTCCTCCTCGCTGGTGAATTTAATGGCTGGGTGCACATTATTGAAAGCGTCTAACATCTCCTGTTTGTCGATATTTTCGTCACATATGATTAATGTGTCATCTATGTATCGACAGTAATAATCAAGCTTATTTAAGATGTCTTTAAGCGGTCCATTTTCTAGTTTGGTTAGAAAAATATTAGCAAAGATCGGGCCTAGAGTATGTATATGTATATACAATACAAGTATACATAGTCATTGTAAAAGAATTCAGATTCGATAATGATCGATTATTGATTAGCAATTCGAAAGAAAAAAAAAATAATAACCATAGTAATTGACAGTTATTGTAAAGAGATTACCATAATCAATCTTCTTTATTACTTCAATGGTATGTAGATACAATATAGTTAAATGTTTCGAATAAATCTTAGATAGTATGAATGAATTACTCATATCATAACAATCTTATTATTATTATTATCATCATCATGATGATCCGTAGCTTATAATTAATCGGTAATAAATATGGTATATCATGAATAATCTATTCAGTAGACCATAGGGTATATCACAGTTGTCTTGTGTTGTTGGTAGAAACATAAATTTAAACTGATTCAATAATGCAAACATATTGATTTAGTGTAATTTGTGTATATCATGCCAACTATGTGATAAATACAATTGTGATTATACTAGTTGACATGACTAACATGTTAGTAAATGAAACTAACTTTATATAGAAACTAAACCACCAACTACTACGACGTACAATGCAGACTAATGTTGGAGATGGTGGGAAGAAAGTTAGAGGTGGCCAAACCAAAACGTGGCATCAGTGCTTGAAGTCATTAACTTTTAGTTTCAGTCATGTTGGTAAATGCAGACTACTTGGTTAAGGTCCATGTGATTATCGTAAACAATGGTTCGAGACTCTTGATGACATGGTTCAGAATCGATCACAATGGTGTGGGTGCATACACTCCCTGTCTTCCCTTGAACTAAGAGATTAAAATCGCTTCATATCTTTCTTTCTATGAACTAATTCATTCTTCCTGTACTATATCCTTATTGCAACTTTTCTTTTATATATTACCACTATTGAATTAACTATTTCTATGAATCCGGTGTTCATCTTGTTGTGCTGATGTGGTGAGGTATGGCAACTTGGACCGATGCATATATGTGCCTGGTGCTACGTTTTAGCTGACTGATTGAGAATAGTTCCTAAAGTGGGTAGAGTCCCGTTGATCACCTTGTTTATCATTTTATGATGTTTGAGGCGTTTATCATAAAACTTTAAATTTACGTTTCGTCTTTGATTACACTAAATAAAAAGAGATTTTGCAGTCTTCAGGGAACTGAGGCTTTAGAATGGAGTTCCTACACAATAGTGAATGCCCAATCTATATTTTGACTAAAATCATGAATATGATCAGAATATTAATTCTAAGAACTGTGCTATATGTTACTTGAAATCGCTCATTCTAACAGGTGGTAAAAGATTGTCTAAATAGTTCAGTGGAAAGTCTCTGATTAAAAGTTAGTTTGGAATCCTATGACAAGTATTAATTTCATTCAGAACAATAATACACCTAACTAACGAGTCTTGAATGACAAGAATTCATTTATTTTAGCACATAAATATTGGTACAGGGAAGCATCAAATACATATGCGCCACACAAATCTCATTCGATATGTGTGAGGGCTGTGATACTGCCCAGGTGCCCAGACCGAATCAAGTGGTTTTCTTAGGGGGCCACACACCGAGCCTTTGACCTAAAAGTCTAACCCACAAGGCAGTGGAGCATCGTAAGGAGATGCAGTCCCATGGTAGCCGGTGACGAACAGTTGGTTCAAACGCCATTTTTCCCTTCAGGATACTGGAGCCTATGTGCACGATTGGTTTGGGATCCGGACATTCGCTTTTCGTCCTCTCATTTTCGTAAACAACAGTGATGCCACGAGAAGGCAGTGAATAGGACTTCCCTGGCAGAGGTTATATACGCTTGGTCATGTGAGAGCATTTCGAGAGGGAGAGCTGACTCTCCCCACTCTCGGGTGGGGTCCTATTATTTTTTTCCCACCAACTATCTCTTACTACTTAATATCACAATATATAAAACCAATTAAACCAAAATTGAATGTTAATTTACTTTTATCTTTTAGTTATTTCTACGTGCTGTTGGTATAAGTCCATGGGAAGGTGCACAAACTGCATTATATTGTACATTAATTAATGATCCAGTACCTGGTGGATATTATTCTAATTGTGAAAGAGAAGAATTAACTGAAAAAGCATTAAATGAATCACTTAGTAAAAAATTATGGGATGCATCACGTGAAATGGTTGGTTTACCACCGAATTTATTAAGTTTACCATAACAAGAACAAAAAAGAAAAAAAAGAAAAGAGAAAAAAAAGAAAAAAATAATTCTCATAATTTTCTTTTCTTTTTTGTTCTTCTTTTTCTTTTTCTTCTTCTTCTTCATATTTTGTTAACATTTTATGTTGGTTATTATTCATTAAAAGAATGTGTTTTTTTTCACTTTTTTTGTTTTACTCAATATGTACTCTTAACTTTATAATAATAATAATAATAATAATGATATAATAATTATTGATTTTTTTGTGGTTACCTTGTCAACAAAATGTATATTTCATTATTAACATTATCAATTATTACGTTTATTATTATTATTATTGATTATTGATAATAAATAGTTTATAATAATAATTGACAATATTCAATGATGGTTTCGGTTTATTATATTCAATGTGTCAATTGAAATTCATGAGTTACCATGGTAACTACAATAATAATAATTTTTATTAAAATTGATACGAGATACAATAAAAGAATTTTGTCTTATTATTATTGTTTATTCTACTCTGCTGTATATCAACATTCTTTTTTCTTTATATAAGGTTGATAAGCAATGAATGAATGAATGAGAACGTTTGTTTGGATATACAAAACAAGAATGAAAAGTAGTACAAAAAAAGCATACACTCAATATTATTAAGTTTAAATAATCAACATTAGAATAAAGAAAAAATTAGAAGATGATTGAATATTGTTAGATGATATAATGAATTTGCAGAGATATTAATTGCTCTGTTACGACCGAGAGTGAGCATTGTCAGTCCTCCATCTCGAAATGCTCTCGTATGGCCACGCGTATACAATCACTGCCAGAGAAGTTTTACTCACTGCCTTCTCGTGGTATTACTGTTGTTTACGAAATTCAGAGGACGAGAAGCTAATGTACGGCGCTTTAATCGGGTTGGTGGATACGGAGAGTCCACCCAGGGGAGTTGAAAAACCCCGATTCCAAGCCAATGCTCCATATGGGATTCAGAATTCTGAAGGGACAAATGGTGTATGAACCAATCGTTTGTCACCGGCTAACATGTGACTGCATCTTCTTACGATACTACACTGCCTTGTGGATCAAACCATTAGGTCAAAGGCTCCGAATGTGTCCCTCTAAGAAAACCACCTTCTTCGGTTTGGGCATCCGGGCAGTATCCTAGTTTTCACACAAATCGAATGATTTATGTGGCGCATATCTATTTGTTGCCTCCTTGTATCATTATTTATGCATTTAATTAAATTATATACAGATAAACGAGAAAATCAACACTGAGCTCATAGGATATGGTAACTTTTAAAATGGCCTTCAATGCAGTTTTGTTTTCTTTGATATGTAGTTTAGTTGACATAATCAAGTGTCAAATGCTACTGAATTGAATGTTTGATTACGACAGTATTATCTTAAACATTCATTTCAGTTAAGTTAGTTTACTTCATCATATTTTACAAATTACGATTTTTATTTAGGTAGTAAGTAGGTAGCCTTAACGAATCTTCACTTATCATATGTTGCAAGCAGATGTTGAGAATAGTCCTAAGCATAATTTATGTGCATATTTATTCAGTGTATAAATAAAGCTTCCTGAAGATTTTTGATTTTCTTGCTCTGCATCCTCATTTGATAAGCATTGGGAAGTGTTTCAGTCAGTCTTTGGCAACGTTGAAGGTGTGTGTTCGTCGGTTCAATTTGGCATGTCATATCACCAAAGCTGGATGAAATTATCAAGACGAATTCTACAGTAATGAAAGTAGCATCAGTATACGTAGTATAATGAAGAAATAAGCTTAGACAAAATTATTCGAGAAAGAACGAATCTTGGAATAGATATCGTAATATAGTTTAAGAACTTAAGATCTACGGGATGGCAGAGATTGAATGATTATGAGGCATGTCATGAGACATATGAAACCATCGATTGCAATTATTATGCAGTGTGCACTGAAATAATCTGTATATGCCAGTATCACTCAAACCAACTGTCAGTAGCTTCATGAACTAATTATGTGCCTTCTTATGGCTACCCTAGCCTTCTTCCAACTCACTTCTACTCGAATCAACTTCACGCATTGAAGTAGACAGTAGCTGAACATACGCTACGCGCGTTCCTAAATCCTCGGTCAATGAAGATTCTTGTGTGTTAGCGAGGAAAAGAGTGACTTACCTAGTAAGACTAGTAGATAGTCTGACAGGTATTAAATGTGTTATATAGTTTCCTACCCCTTCTTATTATTGCCACTTTCGGTTGTAGACTTTGAAATATGCTCAAGTTATAGTCAGGTCAGTCACGTGTTCTTGATCCTAGCTGTGTGAAGTCCTGAACAATGAACACTAGGAGGGTATCTATGGTGTATGCTACTTATTTTAACAGATATAAGTAGTATGCAATATCAATCGGAAGTGGAATAAGTGTAGAAGATTGGATCGAAGAGAACAGAAAAGGGAAACACATAAGAATGAAAATGACAACCGAACTAGAAGATTAAAGAAGTACGTACAGGACATCTGAAAGATGATGCGCAAATAATGTATTTAATGTATAATTTTCATACATCGACATGATGAGACGATCAGATGCAAACCGAATGATAAATGGGAAATACTGACAAGTGTATACTATTAATCAAAATTTGGCTTAAATTTCTGAGGTAATACACATATGGTACAGGCTAAAAATTTAGGTCAGCACTTAAAAAGATATTTATCTGTAGTTATGAATGATTTAAGTATATATTTTTGATTCGATTACCTAATTACATGTTCCTATTCAATCTTGGTACGCCAGCTCAAGTATCTGGTTTGTGCATCTATGTAGTAAGAGTACGTATCAGTATCAGACTAAAACAACAGCAGCACACAATATACACTCAGTTAGTCAGGTTCATAGACACACACACACTACAAATCATCACAGCAAAAATAACTTGAATATTCCTATTCAGTCAGTCAGCTAAAACGTTGCACTAGGCACATATATGCATCGGTTCAAGTTGCCATACCTCATTAACACAACATGAACACCGAATTCATAGAAGTAGTTAGTTCGGTGGTAGTAATATGTAAAAGAAGGATTGTATATAAGGGTATAATACAGGAAGAAATAATCAGTTCGTAGAAAGAAATATATGAAGTGATTTTAATCTCTTAGATTAAGCGAAGACAGAGAGTGTATACACCCACACCATTGTGATCAATTCTGAGCCATGTCACCAAGAGTCGCCAACTATTGGTTACGATAGTCACGCGGACCCCAACCAAGTTGTCTGCATTTCCTAACATGACTAAGATTAGAAGTTAGTGACTTTAACGACTGATACCATGTTTTGTTTTGACCGCCCCTAACTTTCTTCCCACCATCTCCAACATTAGTCTGCATTGCGCGTCAACGTAATCGGTGTTCAGGCATACGCAACACGTGGCCCAACAATCTCAGTCGATGAAGATTCACAACGTCACCAACTGGTTTACCATCATTCTCTAATACCCGATTATTCCTAGTAAGGTGAGTCAAATCATGTATTACAAATATAGAAACTGACAATATGAAAAAGGATTTAGACCATAAAAGTAATTGGGTGTATTTTCTACAATAAAAACCAATACAGCACTATACAAAAACAAGAAAAGGAGATTGTTCAATTAATTAGAATCCGTTCAAAGATTCTAACTTAATGGTTGAATTACTCATGAAATGAATCATGGACTATACATTCGAAATGGATAAGCTACTTCAAAAGAAAATAAAGTCTCAGTACAAAAAAACAAATGATGAAGAATTAAAAAGCGGAGGATATAAAATTGCAATCAAGAAAGTGGATTAAAACACTGAATAAATAGGCAAATATTTAGGATTAAGAGTAAATTACAAAACAGAAACATTAGATTTTAGTTATACAAGCGCCATTACCACGCTACTGAATATTGATTAGTAGTATAATGAAATACATAAAAAAAGGGAAGGGTAGACAAGTCGAAGCCTAAAACCAGTTCAACTATAAATATTATTTCATCAGAATGGGTTTTGTGGAGAATTTTAGAAATTTTCACAGGTTGAAATCATGAGTCAGTTGAAGATAGACCACCATTGAAAACCTAGAAGCATTGGACGGCCGTTTCGTCCTGGTATGGGACTCCTCAACAGTGCGCATCCACGATCCCGCACCACTGCTGAGGAGTCCCATACCAGGACGAAACGGCCGTCCAGTGCTTCTAGGTTTTCAATGGTGGTCTAGCTTCAACTGACTCATGATTTCAACCTGTGAAATATTATTTCATTAAAACTGATTCATTGTCAGGATTCAACAAAAGTGTAATTAAAGTTTCAAATAATTTCAAACGAGATGAATTATTCGTCTTCAATGTTTCAATAAATTCATAATTGTTTATGGTATCAGCATTACCATTATTCTCAGGATCAACATTGTATATTTGCTTTTCTAATAAATACGGATCATATTCAAAGTGAACACCACTTAAAATACCACAACCATTCCCTAATTTCGAACCAATAATAGCCGGTTTTCCATTATCCGAGCTGGAAAAAAAATGTATATACACATACATTTCACATTTATCGTAGGGCATAGGATCAAACTGGACAGGTTAAGCTATTACCCGTCCCAGTCAGAAATGGATCAACTAATGAACTAAATCAATTATTCGCCACAGATATATCTCATTTCTAGTACCATTAAAATCAAGGAGCACTACACGTATATTTAATTCCAATATGAGTCTCATCAGTTCTTACTAATGACGCTATCAGCGATCAAGCCAGAGGATTTAAAGTCTTGTGACGAATCCCTAGCTATTGGAACTATCAAGTTAACATGCACAGGAGCATTGATTTGAACTTTGCTTGATCATTATTATTTAAAAGGACTTATTGTTATAGAATAAAACTAGAGGTTTTTTAGTGATATCAATTAGCAACTATAGTAAATTACCGTGTGATATAGCTCTGACTAGATTGAGGATTTCTTTAATCTTAGTATTGTGATGATATATATATATATATCTTGAAATACGTTGAGTAATACCTCGAGTTAACTGACAGTTTCAACAATAAAATCACATTCACTAGAAGAGAGTTTGATATATCTACATCTGATAGGAACATGGTCAAATTACAGCTCCAATGATTCCATCATCTTTATTTATTATCATATCAAATTTTAGGACTCCGCAATGAACTAAATTTTATTCTTTGAATGTTCGTGAAACTAATCAGCAGTTCAAACTAAGTTGGATATGATGGTGTTTTAGCTTTCAATTCAATAGTTGAACAATAAATATTTTTGAATTATTAAACCGGCGAGATTATGATTTATGGATGAACCAATCAGATTTACCAGAACAGGATTTTGATTTTGGCGCGAAATCAATTCATTCATTTGTCTAAATAGAGTTTCTCGGCAATATAGCTGATTTCAGTTCGTGATGAAAACCCTAAATCTAATTCTTAATCCAAACTATCCACTATAGATATTAATACTAATTTCTTAAACCGGTTTATAACCCTCATTTAGGCATAGTATGTAGGCCAACATTTGCAAGGTTTCTTTAGCGTTGCCCCAAGGTCGACCATAAATAACAGTCTCACCATCAAACCTATTTATCAGTTAATTTTTGACTATTTAGAGTAGAATACTGAATATGATTTAATCACTAGTTTGTCATTTAATTTATCAATATACAAAACAATCCGTGTCGGGTAGAGACAGGTATCTATTTCAGTACAATGGAAGATGGTCACGCAATTTCGTGGATTGGTTGAGACATTAACAACGTTGGATGCCGACTCAGTAGTCTAGAGGCTAAGTGTTCGCGCGTGAGACTGAATGCCCTGGGTTCGAACCCCTCTCGCGGGATCGTGGATACGCACTGATGAGGAGTCCCACAATATGATTAAATGGCCTTCCAGTGCTTCCAGGTTGTCAATGAGGGTCTAACATCAATCAGTTCATGATCTCAATCAAAATACAAAATATATTCACATACTATGTATATAAAACTTGTGAATCCTCCCAATTAATAGATTCAAATGTACATCCTCCATTATAATAAACAGTAGCTGTTTGTGGTATTAAATTTTTTGATACAGCTTGAATAGAAACTGCATAACTCCCATTTTCACTGTTATATTGAAAACCAGGGAAAACTGGACCTGATCCAATACCTAGAATTTATTAAAAAGAAAAAAAATCATATTGTAGGATGTTGATTTGGCGGGACTATAATTTATGGACGAACCAATCAGATACAAGACAGCAGATCTCGGATTTTGACACGATATTCACTTATCCATTTGGACAAATAGAGTCTTAGCATAATAGCTGATGTCAGGTCGTGATGAAAAACCCTAAATCTGATTCTTAACCTTAACCATCAACTGTGAATCATAATTCTAATTCCTCACACTTGTTTATGACCTTCATTTGGTCTCTGTTACTAGGTGGACACTATTAAGGTTACTTTGGCGTCTCTCAAAGGTCGTCCATAAATTATAGTCCCACCCTTGATTTCACTAAGTTTATATTATTTAGATTTGAATAGTTTAATTTAGAACAAGCTTTAATTATCTAACTCAAATTCATTTTTATTATACAATATTGTTCAGATTTAGATTTCTTTGATTATCATTGATATTCTTATGACTTCGACTTGATTGTAATTAATTTCATCGTGTTATGACATAATGAGCAAATGTGGTATGAGCTACTTATATCCACATAAGTAGTATATAACTATGATTCTGGCTGACTGACTGACATCAGCAAGAAACAAATTAATAGAATTTCTGTACAAACGACCGACAGTTTGATGTTTCAATATAAAATCTAATTGGCTGTTATAAATAGGTGTCTTGTTATTTTTTTCCACATTCATCTTTCTTATCTTCTTCTCTTCTAATCTGATATTTTATGTTATAAACTTATCAACAACTGCATACTTAATCGCAAAAACCACCAAACTGATCATCTTAACTCATGTGTCAACAGATTGTTTTAGTGGCTCTACATATGACTCCGATTAGATCGGACGATGATAATTGTTATCGAAATATACATGCTCCTACTCATCGTATATAGCGTTAGGGAATAACGGAATAAAAATAAGTCAAATACGCATATTTCATACAATCATTGATGTGAACAGAAAATCACGGAAGCGAGGAGAGAGAGAAGTGAAACGGATCGGAGAAGATGAGTGAGCCCACTTGATTTAATTAAGCGTGACTTGATATTTATAGTCAAACAAAAATAAGTTGCAGACACATCATGAATAGGTTAACTAACTATCACACGTACGACCATATAAAATCAGTCAAGGTTGTAGTGGCTTTGTTTCGTGAATCAATCACCTTTGTAATCGTTATTACATAAATCTTAACGGTGCTTGAAATCAGAAGACAATAAAGAAGCGGCAACTACAGTTTATTGGTGGATAGGACAGATTACAAAGCTATGAGCACATCAAGCAAATCTGAAGCAGAGAGGTCAATATTTGTGAGTAAGTGAATACAGAGGAGAATTTATAGTCTAGTCGAATCAAGGCGCTGCTAGGCAAGTCAAAAGCAATTAACAGGAATCGAGTACATAGATACATGGAGAAAAGAATGAATCATTAAGGGATATTTAAGCTATAAACACTTTAGTTCGAGTCTGTCATATGATAAAGCGTACACGTTTATACAAATATGTTAGTGATCATAATAGTGCGAAGAATTAGACGAGTTGTTACGGTCTGATTATCATTGTCTGTTAAGTTAACAAAAGGAATTGACCATGATCGAAATTGATTGAAGGAGAGTTACTATAAGGTTAACAAGCGAACAAGTGACAAGGTGCAGATATGTGCTGATGATGTCGTTCAGAAGAACAATGAAAGCTCCACGATCAAATCATCCAGCTCAGAGAACAAAATTTCATCAAAATAATCCTAAATTGCTACAACTGAAGAATCGAAGAAGTATTGAGGATTTGGTTCATTCTACAATGAAAATTTTAGGTTTATGCACTTAATTTGCTGAGTGAGTTTGAGCTAATCATTTATTTATTTAAGCACATAACCATTGATACAAGGAGGCAACAAATAGATATGTACCACATAAATCATTCGATTTGGGTGAAAACTAGGATACTGCCCGGGTGCCCAAACCGAAGAAGATGGTTTTCTTAGAGAGACACATTCGGAGCCTTTGACCTAATGGTCTGATCCACAAGGCAGTGTAGTATCGTAAGAAGATGCAGTCACATGGTAGCCGGTGACAAACGATTGGTTCATACACCATTTGTCCCTTCAGAATTCTGAATCCCATATGGAGCATTGGTTTGGAATCGAGGTTTCCAAACTCCCCTAGGTAGACTGTCCTTATACACCAACCCGGTTAAAGGGCCGGAAATTTGATTTTCGTCCTCTGAATTTTGTAAACAACAGTAATGCCACAAGAAGGCAGTGAGTAGGACTTCTCTGGCAGTGGTTGTTTACACGTGGCTACTTGAGAGTATTTGGAGGGAGAGCTGATTTCCTCCACTCTCGGCCGTACCAGGGTATTTGGGTTCTGAAAACTTTTAATATTCGTAACAAGAACAATGCCCACAATTTACAAAATTTACAAAAAAAATTATTTACCTGCAACGTACAGTTTTAGTTACTTCATAAGATAGGGGTAATCTTCAATCAATGTCATGATTGAGTCAAGAATGCAAAAGCAATAACAAATACTAGATGGGTTTTGTAGATATTATAGTAATTTCAATGGTTAATATCATGAGTCAGTTGAAGCTAGACCACCATGAAAAATCTGGAAACACTGGACGGTCGTTTCGTTCTATTGTGAGACTCCTCAGCAGTGCGCATCCACTCATGATTTTACCCATTGAAATAACAAATAAGAACTAACAAATTAACTAATACCAATATTGGTCAGCGGCCTATGCTCCATTGGGAGTAACAGGCGTAAGTAAGTAAGTAAGTAATACCAATATATTTAGAACAACAAACCTTGAAATAATTTGATATATCTTTCACCATACACTTCAAGTGGACCATTCATATCGAAATAGCAATAATCACAAGCGAAATAAGCACCAGCACAAATACCAAGATATCTACCCATATTTTCTTTAATATAATTATGTATATTCAAACAACCAGATAATTGTAATGAGTTTAAATAGCCTAAATCATAACCACCACCAAAACATAATAAATTTGATTGTATATTTTGATTATTTATTATTGTACTATTTATTTCTTCAATTTTATATAAAGATGTTAAATATTGAAATGCATTTTTCAAATGAATGTAACATTGTTCTGAAGTGCCAAGATCTTTATAAATTTGTATTTGTTTATGAACCATAATGAAATGTTGAATTGAAATGAATCTAAATATTAAAAAAAATAATAATGAATAGAAAATATTAGAAAGGGTTTTTTTTTGTGGAGATTTTAGTCATTTCGGCCGTTTCGTCCTAGTATGGGACTCGTCAACAGTACGCATTCGCCAGGTGTGTTGTGCGATATCAGCTCACTGAAGACAATGATGACGGTGACTCAATTTCGTAGATTGGTTGGAGCTGGACATGAACACTGTGAGATGCCGATTCAGTGGTCTAATGGTTAAGCGCTTACGCGCGAAACTGATAAGTCCCGTGTTCGAATCTCGCGGGGGACGGGATCGTGGATGTACACTGCTTAGATGTCCTATATTAGAACGAAACGACCGTCTAGTGCTCCCAGGTTTTCTATAGTGGTCTAGCTTCAATTGAATCATGATTTAAACTATTGGAATAGAAAATAATTATTAATTATTTCTACTTGGCAACATTTATCTTTAATATGCTTTCATTAATTCCTTATTATGGAATAAGCTATAAAGGGAGAATGAGAGAGTGAGTGTGGATAAGGTAGTAAGTGAGTGAGTGGACAACCAACGATAACAAGAAATGTTGATCGATTGAATTTTGTATGTGGTGTATGCTACTTATATCGATGTAAGTAGTAATATGACGTTAGTCGTGAACAGAAAGTCTGACAGCAGAGAGACAAGAGGATCAAACAGTAAAGAATAGAAACAGAATGTAATTTGTATGAAAATGCAAGAACAGTGAAATCTGAGTCATTTTGAGACAATTGATGGACATTTTGCAGATTAAGCATTTACTTTATGATTGTTAGATTTTATTAACAAGTGCTGTAATGTTGTGTCAAATACATTCGGTTGTTCCCCTCTGGTGTTCTTGTTCACTATAGTATAGTAATGTCCGAAATTGACTACAAATATTAGTATTATTTCTCATCAGAATTTTATATCTAGTCTTAATATAAACAATCACAAGACATAATCTAGTCTGTGTTTAGGAAGAATATTTTTTAGGATGATAATTCCACTCTTTATGTACAAATTTAAGTTACCGTAGATGATAGTGAAAAAGATTACAACATACGATTTTCTGTGGATTAGTTCAACAACATTAGAGATTATCCGGTGAGACTATAATTTATGGATGAGTGACGCCGAACTGACTTTGAGAGTGTCCACCTAGTAACCAGGACCAAATGAAGGTTATAAACCAGTGTGAGGTATTATAATTATGATTTACATTTAATGATTAAGGTTAGAAATTAGATTTAGGGTTTTTATCATGAACTGAAATAAGCTAAAATGTCAAAACTCTATTTAGCCAAATGAATGAATGAATTTCGCGCCAAAATTTAAGACCTGTTATCTTATATACGGTTGGTTCGTCCATAAATTATCGTCATTCCGATTATTCTTTAAGGTTGTTCTGATCACACAGATGTATTGATAGAAATCTGAAATGTACAAATTTCCACTTCACTAACTTATAACCTAAACTGTTGATTCATAATCCATTAAGACCGCTTTCTATCACTAGTAGTAGTATCATAAATCGAGAGTTATAAAATATAACTCACTATATTATCATAACAATTATAAGACCAAATGATTATAAATATAACTTGTTAGTGCTCAACAGTTGAAGATAGAAATGTCCAACTACACAAAATATAAGAAACTATTTCATTGTATTAACTAATTGCTTAGTAGACGTGACAATGAACCCTTCTTCCGATCTAGTCTAGTTCTCGATCGAACAAACGGATGTATCACATGATCAAATGTCTAGTACAAGTAGTTTGGACAGCACAATTCTTTTGTTATATATGATTATAGTTGTTAGATACTGAAGTATGGCAACTTAGACTGATGCATATATGTGCCTGGTCCTACGTTGTAGCTGACTGACTAACTGAATACTGTGAAATTCAACGAAAGAAATGTTTTGTATGATTATAATTTCCATTCATTCTTTAATTAGCATTATTTCAAGATAAGAATGAATTTGAAACTAATAACTTTAAAGAAATGAAGGATTCAGTGATCGACTTGTGTTTAGTTCTTATTTCTGATAAAACTGTATCGGTCGTGTTATAAAATGTTATCATCAAAATCAAACGATAGTCTATATTAAATAAGAACTTTCGTCTAAATTTGAACGAATATAGTTTCAAAATATTTGGGCGCCGAGTTGATGTGAGACCTTAAAGAGGAAGAATGTATATGAGATTTTAATCTCAGCGAATGAATTTGAAGTAAATTCAACGTTTCACCTGGCAATCTGGTTCAAGCTTTTTCAAGGAAATCTAACCAAACATTACAATTGTCGATTCGAACCCAGGAACGAACGCTTAACGTCTAGACCACTGAGCCGGCATCCAACGGTGTTAATGTCTAACTTTCATCAATCCACAAAATTGCGCCACCGTTCACCATTTTCTTCAGTGTGTTACAATCTCACAACAGAGCCAGTGGAACTACACTAGTTACTGCTTCTCAATAGAACTTCAGGAGTCCCATACTAGGACGAAACGGCCGTTCAGTGCTTCCAGGTTCTCCATAGTGCTCTAACCTTGATTAATTCATAAATTTAACTATAAAATTCCAATTATCTTAATATTTCAAAGTAACATTTGCAAGTTTTGTGTAGTTGAATACAAGAATACAATGAATTTATTTCATTCTTCAGACATATTATGATTTGTATTTTCTTACTTTTCGACGAATGGTTTGGACTATTTTTCCTGATTAGCGTTTTTTAGCGAGTTAGTTTTCTACGGGACGAGGTCGCTAACCCCATGTCCAACCCTCCTCCTTTATCCGGGCTTGGGACAGGCAGTAGCCCCAGAGGGGCTGCAGACGGCCGCCTATACTCAATTGGGAGTAAAAGGCGTAAGTGAGTAAGTAACTTTTCGATAAGTTAAAAGTGAATTTGTTGTTGTCTCTTTATTCAGTTATAAAATTTGAATAATTATATCATTACACTACTTATATAAATCTGTGATCACATTTCATTAAAATAGTTAAGGAACAAATCACTCTGTCTCTCAAATGAATGATTATCCTTACTTCAGACTGATAACCCTCATATTTTGACTATACTACTATCGATGGTAGACAGATTAGTAAAAGAATATAAGAAGCGAAACTAATGAAGTAAGTTGTGCCAAAACTAATAACTGTTCATTCAAACATCATTCACAATTAAATAACTGTCAATCGAGAGGTGATTCATGTAACTTCACCTACTAACATATCTTAATTAGGATGAAAGACGTCTCATTGCATTTCATAGAGCAAGCCAGCATTAAATATATTTCGATTCGGTAAACTAATAATAAAACATAATGAATCAAAATGTTTTACGTCTGAATAGATAATTCCAACTAGCAATCATATCACTTTATATCACCAGAACGTAATGAATGAGTAATGCTGATGCTACCAATAAGTACTGATGTCTTATTGTTTGACAAATAATACAGTCATTACCATAAAGGAGAACTAAGCACAAATGATAGGATTATTGATATCCATTAAACGAACTATCTTTAAAAAACTCAAAATTGATTCTATCTATCCTATTACAAGAGATCCGAAAAAAGCACAATATCGTACAAATTAGTTCTTTTCTTCGTCTAAATCTATGTGAATACTATAATCTATTGACCAAAAGTTGGGACAAACATTCGCCTATATCAATGTATCTGTACAGAGGTTCTACTGAGAGTAAGTTAAATAACAGAGAGTTATGCAACAAAAGTCTAAATAGTTTAACAAGATATAGTTACATAACAAAATCTTAAAGATGTAAGCTTCTTAGTTCAAAGTCATTCATTGTGAATGGGAATCAATCAGAAATAAATAACAACTGGAAACTACTTGATACTTAGGTCACTTTCAATGAGTTTAACGAACAAAATATTCCTATAACTATTTCAGTCGATCAACACTAAGAATTTGAGTGACTTATGTACAGAATGAGGTTTTGAATCTACACGGATAACAAATAGATGCATACATAGTGAACTATGATGATACTTGATAGTTTAACAGTATATAATCGCTTATTAAACCATTTATTTTAGACGATAACAAATAGTAAGATATACAATTGTGAACTATCAAATCTTCACTAGCATATTTGAATACAATCTAACCAATCATTTATATTATTCTGAAGAGTCTCATTCTAAAACGAAACGGCCGTCTAATGCTTCCAGGCTTCCCATGGTGGTCTAGCTTCAACTAAGTTATGAATTCAATCATTTAATTTCGGATTAATCAACAAAAATTCAACTAAGAAAAAAAAACTAATCCATAAATGAGTAAACATATCAGATCAGATACCAATTAATTTGATGCATTTAATTTTGATTTGTGACATAAAAAATGAGTGTTTAAAATACCTTTCAACTACGAGCCTCCAAATGCCCTGGTACAGCTGAGAGTGGGGAGGGTCAGCTCACCCTCTCGAAATGCTCTCACATGGCCACGCGTATACGGCAACTGCCAGAGAAGTCCTACTAACTGCATTCTCGTGGCATTACTGTTGTTTACGAAATTGAGGAGACGAAAAGCGAAACTCCGGCGCTTTAACTGGGCTGGAGGTCACTGAGAGCCCACCTAGGGGGGGGGGTAGAAAACCCTGATTCCAAACCACTGGTGAACATGGGCTCCAGTACCCTGAAGGAACAAGTAGCGTATGAACGTATTATTGGTTACCGACTACCATGTGACTGCATCTCCTTACGTTGCTCCACTGCCTTGTGGATTAGACCTTTAGGTCGAAGGTTCTGGGAGTGAACCCCTAAGAAAACTATCTGTTCCGGTCTGGGCATCCAAGCACTATTCCAGCCCTTACAAAAATCGGCAACAAATAGATATGTACCACATAAATCATTCGATTTTAATGTTGGCTGAAATACTGCTCGTGTGCCCAAACCGAAGAAGGTGGTTTTTTTAGGTGGTCACACTCACAGCCTTCAACCTAAAGGTTTGATCCACGAGGCAGTTGAGCATCGTAAACAGATGCAGTCCCATGGTAGTCGGTGACCAACGAGTGGTTCATACGCCATTTGTTCCCGCAGGATACTGTAGCCCATGTGCAGCATAATAATAAACATATCAACACACTCATTGAATTTAAACAAAAGGGTTCAAACAATAAACTATAATGAATAAAATGCCATTTATTGAAGTATGTATATATATATTCATGTAAATATACAAGATTAATATACAGTTGTCAATAGAAAACAAATATAAACTAAGCATGAGATGATAATGATGATAAAAATTAATTAACTAAGAAATAACACATTTCCTATCTTCTATTAATCGTTCATAAATGAACACAAATTCATTAAAGGACAAAAACAGGAATAAACGATAGATAATCATAAGTAAACAACAAAGAGAAAAAAGAAAGAAAGAGGGTAAAATATATTTGAAATCAATGATGATAGGGGTTATCTATCAATGGTTACCATGCAATAAAACTTAAATAGATAATAATGAAATGAATTAAGTAAACAATGAATTAATATTGAGTAATTGGATTAGATTTTGATGTTATATCATTATTTATAGTATTGGTTGTTTTTATTGATGCTTGTGCTGTTTTCTCTGCAATTGCATCTAATAATGGTTGACGTTTATGACGATAACGAACAGCTAAATTTCTTAATTCTGTTTCTAAATCATTTGTTAATGATATAAGTAATTGTTCTAATTCTGTATAAGATAAACGACTTAAAGAACTTGGTTCATTAGTTAATCCATTTGTATAAAGACCAGATTGTTGAATAGCACGAGAAAATGGTGCAAATGGTCTTTGAATAAATGGTGGAGCATGACCAATACCACCGCCTATATTCATATTATTATTTATATCATTTGATTGTTGTTCACAACTAAAAATGAACATAGAAAGAATGTATAAATTAACTGAATCAAATTACTGGAAATAACAGTGAAATATGTATATTCTAACTATATTACTTATGAGTAATTGAACATGTATTGAACAATTTTCTTGATGGCAATTCATTATTTATTCGGAAACAGTTCACATTAATATGGGTCGGAGGAAGAGTATGAGAAACGGCAATCATCAAAAGTGAAAATATTAATACATGTGATAATTGAAAGACAGAATAACATTTTTAATCGTATGAAATATGTTCAATTTACATTACATTCTCACTGAAAATACAGAGTCTATAACCTTTATATTTTCAGTCACCTGAAACTGTCTAACAAATTCGTGATCTGTTAGCAATTTAGCACACACAAACATCCCTTTCAATAGATTATATCTTAGTTGTTCGAAATGGACATTGAGATAACATGATTAGGGCAATAACAATAACAATTTACTACCGAATTCGAAAGATTACATTATTCATTGAAAGTAGACCCTTAACCATATATATTTAGAAAATTACGTTTTTAATTGATCTTAAGGTAAAGGGGCAGAGTGTAAATCGAACATATTTCATACTATTAAAGAATGTTATCCCCCCTTTCAATTATTACATGTATTAATATTTACTCTTTTGATGGTAGCCCTTATTAGCGTACGCTCTTTTTCACTCGTCCTCTTGATAGTCACCCTTTGGTATGAATAGCATTGGAAACACATCTGTTATTGGTTATTCGTTAATCGACTTAATAATTGTTCGACAAAATTTTTCATTACGGATTCACAACATCTAGAAAATTTTTGATAGTTGAGCACTTATGCATACTATAAAAATAATTCATTGCCAGCTTACAACATAGTCATTAGGAAAAGATGCTCGAATTGGATAGGATATATATAACGGGAACCACCAAACTGAACCATGAGCCAAGCCACAACTTGGAATTCTGAAGGGAAACGAAAAAGAAGAAGGCCAGAGAACACACTGTGTCGAGAATTGGAAGCAGAAATGAAAAGGATGGATAGCAACTGGAAAGAACTGGCGTAAGTAATTTACTTACTTACTTACACCTGTTACTCCCTGTAAAGGAGCATAGGCCGCTCACCAGCATTCTCCATCCAACCCTGTCCTGGGAAGTAAGTTAGAACTATTAAACTAATCAATTGGTGATATGGTTGTCCAAGTGATTATATTGCGATAAGCCTATGCGATACTACGAATGGATCTGTTAAATGAAGTTAGAAACTGAAGATTCCATTAGTTCCTTTATCATAAGCTAAATCAATCAATAGTAAATCAGATGAAATAGCATTCAGAATTGCGTTAAATTTTGCAGATATTTTGTATAATTAGAGCTAAACAATGATATTTACTACATTTTCAGGGGTTCGACGGAATTCACTAGTGATAGCAAATATATATATATATATATATATATATATATATATATATATATATATATATATATATATATATATATATTTCCCGCAGAAAACAACCTTGGTAAAATACGCTAACCACAATAAACGATTCAAACCACTTAAAATCTGTCCTGCAAGTTGAAGGGTCTTCATTCAGAAAAACTATGTCGCCTCATGATGAAAGCTGAACGTCCGAACAATATGGGAGACCAGAAGGACCAGTCAAATAGCATCGGGAATGAGGAGATAAAACTCAAAGGTTCTTGGCGTCAATGAAACCCATTGGACCCAAGCTGGATAAAGAAGAATACATTCGGGAGAGATGCTTTTCTACTCTAGGTACGTAGAAGAAAGTGTTCCACACACTCAGGGATGTGCTCTGATGCTGTCCAAAGAAACACGAAAAGCATTCATCGGATGGGAATCTTATGGACCTAGAATTATTAAAGCATCTTTCAAAACAAAGAATGGTAGAATCACAATCAATGTTATCCAATGTTATACACCCAACAATCACAGAGATGAAGACGATAAAGACCAGTTTTACGAGAGGCTGCAAGCAATCATAGCGATGTGCCCATGAAATGACCTGACTATCCTGATGGGAGACTTAAACGACAAAGTCGGAATGGAAAACATCGAATATGAAGATATCGTAGGACGACATGAACTGACTGAGAGAAGGGAACGAGAACGGTGAGATAGGAAAATTTGTGTGCATTCCACAAAATGGTTGTAGGTGGTATGACATTCCAACACAAATGCATACACAAAGCTACATAGACTTGACTGGATCACATTACACAGAACCAGATCGATCATATATGCGTCAATAAAAAATTCAAAAGGCCAATGGAAGGCGTGAGAACCAACAAAGGAGCTGACACAGCTTTTGATCACCACCAACTAGTGGTTCTGAAAATGAAACTGAAGCTAAAGAAGCACTGGAAAACTGAAAAAGCGGCATTACAAAAGTTTAAAACAGCCTTCCCCCAAGACACTGACAAACTCAACCAGTTGAAGATAACTATCAGCAACAGGTCCCAAGCCTTACAAGATATACTCAAAGAAGAAACTGATAAAGGGAACAACTGGAAAGGGATTAGAGAAGCACTAACTTCAACGTTTCAGGAGATACTCGTCCTCAAGAAGTACTATAACAGTAGATTGATCTCTATCGAAACTCTTGACAAGATTCAAGAAAGGAAGAACAAGAATACAGCAATTAACAACAGCCAAACAAGAACAGAGAAAGTCAAGGCAAAGGCTGAATACACAGAGGCAAACAAGCAAGTGAAGAAGAGCATTAGAGCTGACAAGCAGAAATACATGAAAGAACTAGCGACGACAGCGGAAAAAGCTGAAATATCAAACAAATATATGACACAACGAAGAAACTGGTAGGGAAATATAGTAAACCAGAGAGACCAGTCAAGGACAAATAAGGCAAGCAAACACTGAAATTCAAGAACAGAGGAACAGATGGGTTGAATACTTCGAGGAACTGTTGAATAGACCAGCTCAACTGAATCCACCACACATTGAAGTAGCACACAGTCTTTTTCGTAGATGTCTCTCCACTAAAAGTCGAGGAAATCAGGATGGCCTTCAGACAAACCAAGAGCGGGAAAGCAGCAGGACCTGATAATGGGCCACCTGAAGCACTGAAGCCAGACATTGAAGTAAATGCAAACATGCTTTACGTTCTATTCAGGAAGATTTTGGAGGAAGAACAAATGCCAAGAGATTGGAAGGACACTTTATCAAGATACCAAAGAATGGAGATCTGAGTAAACGTAAAAACCATAAAGGCGTCGCACTACTGTCAGTAACAGGAAACGTTTTGAACAAGGTATTGCTGAACCGGATGAAAGATTCAGTGGAAACCCAACTTCGAAATCAACAGGCTGGATTTCGTAAGGATCGGCCGTGCACAGACCATATCACCACACCACGGATCATCGTTCAACAATCAATTGAATGTAACTCGTCACCATACATCAACTTCCTTGATTATGAGAAAGCATTTGACAGTGTGGTTAGGAGAAACTTATAGAACCTTCTTCGACACTACGGTGTGAGTAGCTGGAAAGATCGTCAACATCATTCGCAATTCATACGACGGACTACAGTGCAAAGTCGTCCATGGAGGATAGCTGACAGATGCGTTCCAAGAGAGTATCGGAGTCAGACAAGGCTGCTTACTCCCCCCTTCCTCTTTCTTCTGATGGTTGACTGGATTATGAAGACCTCGTTATCTGAGGGAAAGCACGGAATACAATGGACAGTTTGCATGTGGCTAGACGATTTTATTTGTCTCTTCTATCCCATACACACCAACAAATGCAGGTGAAGACAAATAGTGTAGCAGCAGTAGGCCTCAGCATACACAAGAGGAAAACCGAGATTCTCAAATAGAACACAAAGAATATCAGTTCAATCTCACGTGATGGAGAAGCTATGGAATAGATGGAATCTTTCACGTACCTGTGCAGCATCATCGATGAACAAGAAGGATTAGATGCAGACGTAAAGGGAAGGATTGGCAAAGCAAGGACAGTATTCATACAATTGAAGAATATATAGAACTCATAACGGATATCAAAGTCAGGATCTTCAATACGAACGTCAAGACAGTTCTGTTGTACGGAGGTGAAACTTGGAGAACTACCACAATCATTATCAAAACAGTAGAATTATTTATAAACAGTTGTCTACGCCAGATACTCACTGTCCGTTGGCCGAATACCATCAATAACAGCCTACTATGGGAGAGAACAAACCAGCTTCCAGCTGAGGAGGAAATTAAGAAAAGTCGTTGGAAGTGGATAGGACACACATCATTCAGCCATACGAAATGAATGTGATTTTTTCTTGTCTGTGTTTAACGTTGATTGTTTGATGATATTTTGATCACTTTCAAGAGAATTTACTAATTTAAACCAATTTTATACTTTATAAGATCCTGGACATAAGATACCATCAGACAGTATATAAGCGATCAAGACAGTTATTGAATTTGTTCGAACTTCATTGAGTAGCATATTTGAGTGAAACTGGCAAACGATAAACAGTACAGTCTTGTTGTAAGTAAAGAGGTGTCGGCAATTAGTCAGTAAATTCCGATCCACACTAAAGATTAATAGAGCGTAATATTTTTCATTCCCTGATCATTGAGTAATAACCAATATATTTGTCTAGTTTTTAGTACTGATGTGGCGGATGTTACTCACAAGATGCCAACGCGTATTTTACTGGGCAACTGGCTAAAGACATTCAATAACTTGTTCGAAGGCTATATCGAGGTAATCCACACAAGACAAATATATGCCAAAAAAGTTTGGTCAACATTCAGTCCTGAATACTAAAAACGAGATGATTCAATAGTTTACTCGTGATCATATAAAAAGTGACTTACCCGATATTATTTACCATTTTTACGGCCTTATCAATTCTCCTAGTTAGTGTACCTTCAGTAGGCACAGCCGGCGGAAGAGCAGCGTCTAGTAATTCGAAAGCTTCACGTTGATCGCGTTCTGCATCATCTAGTCCATCTGACGAACCACCAGTTGTATCATGTACCACGACAGAACCACTATCTTCTTCACTTTCCCCGCCATCATTGACAACCATTGTATCAAGATTACCGGAAGATATATAGGCATTATTGACATTTGTTTCATCATCGTGATGACGTATAAAACTACCATTGTCATCATCGTCATCATCATCATCACCGTCATTATGATGATTTGTGCGATCTTCGTTTGAGCATAATGAAACTAAAGTTGCCGCACCATCAATATCCAAACTGATATTTTAAAGTAAGATTAAAGGAATAGTGATTAGTAAGACGATAAAATAATGTCTTTACTGAAAGTAAATTCACTGTCTTTCATTAAATATTCATATAGATAGGTGAAATATACGAAGCAATGATATGTAACACAATACAGAATTATAGTTTGATGAAATAATTATATTCCACAATCTTATTAAATCACTAAGGCATGGATTTCTTAATGTATGACCGGCATAATAATCAAACAGAGAAATACTAGTAACTTATTTATTTGTTATTTATTTGAACACATAAATATTGGTACAAGAGGGCACCAAATAAATATGCGCCACACCATATTTGTGTGTGTGAGCTGTGATACTGCTCGGGTGCCCAGACCGAAGAAGGTGGTTTTCTTAGGGGGCCACAAACCGAGCCTTTGACCTAAAAGTCTAACCCACAAGGCAGTGGAGCATCGTGAGGAGATGCAATCCCATGGTAGCCGGTAACCAACGATTGGTTCATACGCCATTTGTTCCCGCAGGATACTGAAGCCCATGTGCACCATTGGTTTGGAATCCAGTCAAAGCGCCGGACATTCACTTTTCGTCCTCTCAATTTCGTAAACAACACCCCTGCCACGAGAAGGCAGTCAGTAGGACTTCTCTGGCAGAGGCTGCATACGCGTGGCCGTGTGAGAGCATTTCGAGAGGGAGAGAGGGTCCACCCCACTCTCGGCCATACCACGGCATTTGGGGGCTGTATTTTTCCAAAGTGACCTAGACGGATACATGCAGGTGTGGATCATGGTCAAAAAAATAATTTTTCACTTACTAATACAGTAGGTTATGAGAACATGTATTTCTCACTTACTATGTGGCATTGTAACAGAATGTTATTTGTTTGTTCTTGCTCTGTAAAGCATTAAGTAATTTATTAATTGTTTTGTTACAGTCATATCGTCAAAATATCTATAGTTCTAGAGAAAGTCTGTGACATCTGCAGTTTAACCATGTAAAACATAAAACAAATATAATCAACCATAATCGGTAATGGCCTGACAACATAGTTGCTTTGCAGTGATGTTATAAAATGATTTGTTCAAAAACTATTTTATCAGTGTACAAACACGCGCACATAAGCACATATAATCTGACTATAAACCAGTCCAATCAAGTTGGTTATAGGCCCGACCGTTGTTGCTACCTTGACGTGGTGGTCGGGCTTGCCTATTGTGATGAAGCAACCGAGCTATACTGACTGGAACAACTGTTTCTCAAGGTCCTACCACGTCAGAAAGGTCGGTTGAAGAGCGGTAAGACTAAAAGCAACAAACCCAAGGTCCGAAGGCGAAGTCGTACTGTTGACTGTAAACAGGTGTGACAGCAGTAAGGTGTTTCCTTCAGACAACCAGCATGACAACGATGCTGCCTTCACACATGGAGGGGTGGGGTTAGAAAAGGTCGACCCTAAAAACGAACACCTCGCCTTATCCCACGGATATCCGTCTCCGGTGGTAAGGTCTCAACAAGTACGGAGCTAACACAAAAATTACTCATAAAAAGGTCGAGTGTGACCGACCACAAGCAGTTGTCCGTTGGGCACTGCGGTCACGCTCCCAGGTCACTAAGACCACCCTCTAATCCAATTTCCTTTTCAGGTACCTCCAGAAGAACCCTTCCACGGTGTGGGCAACCGGGAAGTGAAAACCGCCCTCATACCTCTAACAGCACTCAAGACCATTTATTCATAGTTGGTTATAGGTATTTTGAAAGAACCAATTCAATGATATCATGTAGTCAATAACTAACCAATAATTAAGAATTGGGAATTAAACACTTTGTGGTTGGAATTAGTGGGATAATCACGATGCAGAAAGTTGGAAATAATCGGTTGCCCGATTCGAAATTAGTACTGACGGTTTAAATGTATACATTCTTTATCCTTACTTGAGTGTTGAATTCCATTATGATCTCATACTTTTTTGCTTCACTACTTTTCGAATTGTATTCTCCTGTATTTAATCTTTTTCACAATCACAACGCTATTATTACTGAAGTCTCATTTGTTACGCATCTCGTTAATTCTATTTAATGTAGCTGTTATGTCCGGACGAAGAATAAGTGGTTGGTAACTGCTGGAATCTATTTATGGACTGTTATTATGTATATTCTTATTGTATAACTATTAAGTAACTATGTCATATCCATATTCATATTCTGTTTATTATAAGCTTCTATTTGTCCTATTGATTACTATTATACGATTTACTGTTCTTAAGTTATTTCCAGCTTGTTAGTTACAGTATCCTACAACCACAGCCACGTTTGGCCTGATCTTGTATAATTGTTATTTTCTACTTTATGGTATGATACGGTCTGATTTGTTTGTATACAAACTGTCTGAAATACACCATATATATAGCAGAGGCCGATATTGGTGTTCTGAACTGAACCGGCTGGGTTAGGCGAGAAGCTACTATTTCAGAGGACCAATAAGAACTCAGAGTTGACTCTAGGCTGCTCGTACTGGTTCATATGTCATTGATTTGGTCAATAAGTCGGTGTTCTAAATGGCAGTAATATCATGTGATATATTTGCAGGGTATGAAGACATAACTGTAGCAGCCTTAGCTGCTATACATTTTGTCTCTTTATCAATACTACAATCGTTTTCCCTAGTGGGTAATTTCGGAGTAAGAGGTTATGACCGATAGAATTCAGACGTGCTGGAAGCGATAGTAACTACTAAGAGCATTAGATGGCCGTTCCTCTATGTCACAAATTGACTAAACTTAAAAACGTACACCACAAGACGCCAGCTCAATGGTCTAATAGCCAACAGCTCATTATGAGACTTGAGTTCGATACCTAGAGGTATTTTCGGTACACAGTGCTAAGTTCCATACTAAGACAAAACAGTTTTTCAGTGCTCCATGGTTTTCAAAGGTATTTCAACTAGAGACAATTTGTGACAAAAACTACATACAAAATAAACCAATTAACACAAAACCATATCATTATAAAAGAAACTGTTTATCAACACACACACACACACGGAAGATAACAAAAGTCAAAGCAAACCATCATAAAGAATTATCTTACCCAGATTCATTATTATTATTACAATTAATATTATTATTCGCAGTTCGACTAGATGTTGAATTTGAACGAACCATTGTATGTAAATTATCATCAACATCATCTTGAGATAATTGATTTTGTTTAGATTTAACTTGATTTTCATCAATTTTATTCATTACTGAATGACGTCGTTTAACATCGGAAATCGGTGTATCAGGTGTAGATGTTTGTTGTTGTTGTTGTTGTTGTTGTTGTTGTTGTAGAAGACGTCTTTCTCTCGCTTCGTTGGCTTCATTAATTAGTTGTCTACAAAAGCAAATCAAGCAAGAAATATACATATAAATGGGTATATACATGTATATGATTTAATAGATACATAAATCCAGGTTATAAAAACGAATTTTAAGGGATAGCAATCTTATCCCTTTTAAAGTAACTAATATTTATGGCTATGAACTTGGTATACCTTCATTTCCTTTGTTCAAAACATTCATGAAAGTCCGCATAAGTCAGACATTTTAGCTGCCTGATTACACGTTTAGCAATCTATTTTTCAACCTCAAATGTTTTGCAAGAACCATGGACACGAACAATTCCGCCAAATTCAGCTGATTAGTCATCACCTGAACAAACAATCAAGAACCCTGAGAAACTTTCAATACCTTTTTCAACACGTAGAGGATCGATGTTCTGATTGATCTTCACTAAAGCATTGAATCCCCTTTTAAAGAGATCAGTTCAAATGAACTAGATTGATAGACAGCCTTTAATAATTCTTGGATTTTCTGAGCATTTGTAGGGACGGAAATCGATGAACTCAAGGAAGCTCTAAGAAGCTCAGGAAGAGCAGAAGACATTCCAGAATTTCGATGTGTAGCTTCCCGATTGAAAAAAATGCTAAAAACCACTGCATGCGGATTAGATGACTGTAATGATGATTTCGTTTTTACTAAAAACTGTAAATACCTGGGTGTTTTGTACCATATTTAACACCGATTGGAATAAAATTTCTTGTAACTCATCTTCTGTCTTCTATCTTGAGAGTTGGAGGGTTCTAGCGTTTCAGTGCTCGAGTTGTGCGCGGAATAGCAACAACTCAAGTTCTAGATCTAACAGTTTTTCTTAAGCTTAATAACAATTCTGTCCGCACATTTATTGAATAGGTGGATAGGTAGTATAATACTAAACATAAGTCGAATTCAACTCAATAAACTCGTAAGGTACCACACATTAAGTTAAAATATTTGATTTACAGTATATACGATACACTATCTATAGTTGACCAAACTAAGGTAGACTACACTTTACCCACGATGGAATATTATTTGAAATGCTTTTCTTTTTCTCAAAAATTAACCGATCTGTATTCACATCTGGTTTGACTATAGGAAGGGTAGTGATTCACCTCGTTGAGGTCACTCAACTTGAAAGCATTATTACTCTCCGTGAGCGAGTGACTGACGAAATTCCGGTGCAACCACGAAAAATCACCTATCTCCTTCTGATAAACTCTGCCATCTATAACACAGGCGAGATATTCCTCTATTGACTAAACAGCAGGGATATTGTGCAGCAGATCGCTCTGCATGACCGCTGAAAGTGGCTAAGCACGTATGTATTGTCAGTATGAGGTTGCGGAGATTGTTAAATTCCATTGAAACCACAAACAATCATTGAAAACCCAGGTGCTGAGTTGGATTTCCGGTTTCGGGGTCATGACTGAATACTTCTGGGGAGTTCCATGCTAGAACGAAACTTCGATCCAGTGCTTCTAGGATTTCATTAGTAATCTAACTTAGGTTGGTTTGTGGTTTGAAATTGATTGAATGATGCTGAGTTGAAATGTAGGATTCCAGGTAAGAACTGAGACTACATTGATAAAAGCTCAAAAATTCATTGATCAAAGTAAAAATCTACTGCCACTCTCAAGTTAAAAGAAAATTTTGTAGCATCACAAGACCACTGTACGTAGATTCATAATCATGATGAATATAAACAATGAATTGGCATTGAAGTAAAGGAAGAAACCTATCGATTCATCGCAGAAGAAATAAAAATAATTCAAGAAAGAAAATTCTCTTTTCCGCATCAGTCGATTAAGCTTTACAATCGTCCTTATAATGAGTTAAAATGTATTGGTCCAGAAGAAAAAAAATAGGAAGCTATTGCATCATATAAAGAGCCATCGAAAACGTTTTCAAGTATTAAAAGAAATTGCGTAGTAAACTAAACAGTTTATGTATGAAAGATAACTGTCAACTCGAGGAATATTGAGAATGTGCTGATAAATTGTTTGGAATTACCAATTATAGAAAGGGATTTACATAACTATTTAACGACTAATCAAAAAATTATTACGATATTTCGTAGAATAGACAATTGTTCACTTGGTAAATTATGAAAAACATAGTGAACAATTATAAGCAAAGATGGATAGTGGCTAGCAGTGGAATCCAGGATGCACGTTTCGTCCTATTTGGGACTCGTCATCTGAATGTACCTGCATCTCAGAGTTGATGTTCACTCTGGGACTCGAACTCAGCGCCGTTCGCTTCAAACGCCATCGCGTTATCCACTTAGCTACTGAGTCCTGATAGCCACTTGCTTGTGCAATGGGGTGAAGTTTAATTCACTTCATATTGTTTTATTTGAATCTTTCCATTGAAGTTTTAGGACTGAAATTGATCAGTCTCTTATTGGCATATGTGCATACTGTGCGTATGCCTCGATATTGCCTTAATTTACAAGCATTGTATATAAGCTCCTGATTTGTGATCTATTTGAACCACTATGTTTGACTTCATGAATAACTTCGACAGATGGGTGAATGTAACCAGTGCTTACGAGATGCTCAAGATTTTAGCTACTGACTAACTTTTGTAATCCTTATGATAACCCAACAGAGTAACGCTCGGAGATGCATTTCGAGAGAGACTGTGACCGATATAACCTATTTCACAAGAACAGGTGAACTTATAGATATAAGTTTATATTCACAATGACAGTATGAATTACAGATAATTTTTGTTTACTTAAAATACGAAAACTGGATGCAGTAGAATCAAGTATTTGCTGCATAGACCAGGTTGATGGGCAAAAGATAAACTTTGAAAACTAGTTTTAAACAAGTGATCCGCAAAAATTTAACATGCTACACAGAATGACATTGGAAAAGCCTGCTGTACTCAGGTAAGCATTTTGTTGTAATTGTGTCAATACTCACCAAGTTGATTATTGTTAATATACATTTTCCAATAAAGGGTTAAAAATCAATCTAAAGAAATTTCATAATTAGAGCCATTAAGCATCTCAACTCCCGTCATATATAAATTTAACTGGAATAATAATCAGACATGAAAAAAAGCTTACAATAATATTGAACAAGGTTTTGCATTACGGATAAATTCAGTTTGTAGTAAAGCTGCTGCCGTAGGACGCGCTTCAGGTGATTTCGCCAAACATGCTGCAATAAATGCACGAAATTCCAATGACCAATTGCTAGGTTTACGTAAAGCTGGAGCAGGCTGACTCGGGATCATAAACAGTGCACGCATAGGATGAATATCAGCTAATGGAGGTTTACCATCGGCCATTTCAATAGCAGTTATACCTAATGACCAAATGTCTGCAGAGCAATTATAACCAATCTCTTGAATAACCTTGAAAAAATTAGGAAATGATAAAATGATCAATATATGTGTGCTAACATCTTTAAAAATCTGCATAAAACAGCCTCAGACAGAATGATGTTATACAATTACGTCTCTCCATAGTTCAAATATCTCCTTCCTCTTTAACTTATCGCAGATGAAATTCCGGGAACACCTCTGAAGGAATTGGTGACGAAGGTGTGGATTTGTTACCTGAAAGAAGACTTTCTGACCTTGAGTGGGCAGCTAAGATTGTTTTACCTTCTGACGATGTACATACTATCTAAACAGTAATTAATCAGTTAGCAATTAGTGTACATCAGTATGGAAATCTTACTGTAGTGTTCTATTACATTCTTCATAAAAGTGAGTCTAATTCCTTTAACTGTATGAAAACTTTCTTATCTGCATTTTAAACCAAACTGTATCTATTAATCTTGTCCGTTTATTTACTTATTCTGCTTCCCTTCTCTTCTGAAGTTCTTCACTTCATTTGTGTGGCATGATTTATTTCGTGTCCAAATGTACCAGAATCAATGTGTTGCAAATAAAGAAAAGTAAATGCATGTATATATGCAGAGGGAAGGTTGAGAAGCCACTCGGATTCCCAAATCGTAGGTGACTTTCTTCGAAGACCACTTCCTGAACCTTCAATCTGAGGATTTAATCCATGGTATCCGGTTATCAAAATAAGTTTCCACGCCATCTGTCTCTTTAGAATAATGCAGCCCATATAACTTGTTGGACTGGATTTTCCAACTCCCCTAAGTAGACTGTGTTTTTGATATTAGGAAAAACCGGCTAGATTTTCCAAAAGTTTCTCCTCACTTATAGTCAGTCAGTAACAACGTAGAAATTCGTACGTACGTACATCAGTTCGAGTTGCCATACCAAATTAGCATAGAGATGCAGTGGTCGATTCAAATCCCGTAGTGCTACATGTAGTAAAATTATAAGCTGTAATCAGAAAAATTAGGGTTTGAAGATGTTATTTAAAGAGTATAATCCAGTGAAATAAATTTGGAAAGAGAAAAAAGAAAGAGACATGAAGAATTCAGAAGATTAGAATTTGGGCGAACACAGAGAGTAGATGCACCTGCGCCATTGCAAACGATTTTGAGCCATGTCATTCAGGGTCTCTAACCATCGGTTGCTATCATCTCGCGGTCCCCAACCAGGTAGTCTACACCTACCAACATGGCTCAGTCTACTTGTCAGTGACTTCATAGATTCGTGCCATGTTTTGGTCTGGCCGCCCCTAGCTTTCTTCCAACCTTCTCCTACATCATAAAATATCGCACGTCGAGGCAGTCGGTAGTTGGGCATACGTAACACGTGTCCCAGCCATCTCAACTGATGAAGTTTCACTACGTCATTAATTGATTTGCCATCCTTACATAATACCCGTTTCCTAACAACTGCGTTACTTACTCGATGGTCCTAGGATATACGATCAATATTTCGAAGACACCTATGATCAAATACTAGTAACCTACGAATATCCTCTACTCTTACCGGCCACGTTTCGCTGCCATAAAGTAGGACGGAACGAACTGCTGCGCAGTAAACACGTTCTTTGGTTGATAGACGGATATCTCGCATACGCCATAAATGACGCAAGTTGGCAAAAGCTAGTCGAGCCTTCTGCATCCGTGCTGAGATTTCGTCACACACCAGACCACAAGGGCTGATGAGACTTCCCAGATGAATGAAGCAGTCGACACGCTCAACTACTTCACTCCCTATCATTAGTTCGGGTGTTGATGCAACCCAATCCTGAAGCAACATTTCGCATTTCGAGGAAGAGAACCGCATCCCGAACATACTTGGATTGTTGCTTAGAGTGGTCAGAAGACTCTGCATTTTGTCAGCGTCTTCACCAAATAGAACTATGTCATCGGCATATTCCAAGCCAACAAGTGAACCTCCTGGTAGAAGTTCAACCCCTGGAAATTCAGATGAGGAAAGTGTTATCTCTAAAAGTACGTCAGTGACAAAGTTAAACAATAGTGGAGAGAGTGGACAGCCCTGACGAGCCCTGAACGCTACTCAAATTCTGTATGCGCGTTTCGGAGACCCAGCACACATCGATGGCGCGAGATTTTAAAGTCCTAGCTAAGGAAGCCTGTTGTCCTATTTGGCAAAGCTCCAACATGAAGTTTAGAGCGTGGTTTCAGGAAACCAGGAATAACGTTCCGCGTACTCGAATCGTTTGCCCTAGCAGTGAGAGCTGATAAAAGGACGTGAGAAGGGTTAGTCGGGGAGATAAGAGTTATTAGGAGGTGTAGGAGGGATTTGAATGTGACCGACTTGGCCTCGTGTGCTGTTACGGGTATGAGGGCTGATGTCACTTCCCTGCTGCCCACACCGTGGAAGGATACTTCTTGAGGAACCTGAAAAGGAAATTGGATTAGTGTTGGTCTTAACTACCTGGGAGCATGACCGCAGAGCCCAAGGGTCCTCACTTATAGAGATACGTTGAACACAGAGATAAAAAGAAGACTTCCACCAGCAGAATGTTTAATGGTTCGGAAATTACTCCCAACAAAACAACAGCTGTTGATCACTTCAATTACTGAATTTACACCAATGACTAAGGTATATACACAAGAGATTGTCTTGCATAACACTTTCGGCGGGTACCGGGGATAACTGCCGGGAAAGAAGGTCAGTAACACTTATGGTACAAACAGGGAGGACCATATGGATCAGACACAAGAACAAACTGAATGTACAATACACTAATGACAATGCAAGTAAAATGGAATTACCGCCCGATACACTTCTCAAATCGTTCAAAACTAGAACATACAATTCCAAGAACCACCAACAAATTGAACCAGAATGGAGGTCACTCTTACTCCGAAAATGAACTGATGGAGAAAGACGCCAAGTGAAACATGTAACTCAAACCCTAATAAATCAGGTTCAAGAAATTTCAGTGAGAAAGTCTCAAATACTTGAAAATAAACATAGACCTTATATTTTTTCGGGGGAAGATGGTAAGAAGAAATAAGATTATGATCATTTTTGCAAAGTTATTATTGCTTAAGTAGCATCCTGTCATATTTTAAAATTTCATGCCACTAATTATTTTAGTAGGACATTCTGAATAATTTACCCAAGTATTTCACTCGGTTCCAGCAAAAAGTTCGTTCTGCTTTAAAATTATTTAAATATGACCATTAATCACCTGAAAGAGTTGGTACAGAAATTATCCATTTTCAATCATACATATTATTCTCCGAAAGCCAGTTTGATTTCTTACCAGCCGGGAGTCGGGATGAAAATATTGAAGGTGTATTTCTTAAGTAAAACTGCAGCTTTCAATAATCGCGCTCACTCATTTTGTCGATTACAGCGTTGATATTTTCCAACTGTCTAGTCGAATGAGCATCGCTACAAACTTATACGAAATTCGGTTCAAAAATGAGTATGTAAACCCATATCTGACTACTGCGCTAGACATTGTCGACATTATTTATATATATAAAGATATGACAACTAACTTCAGGAGCCATCCAATAAGGTGTTCCGATGACGGTATTTCGTTTGGCCAGAGTATCAGACAATTGACCTGCCACACCGAAATCGGCTAATTTAGCAGCACCCGAATTGAGTAGTAGTATATTACCCGCTTTGATATCTCGATGAATTTTTCGCATCTATGGGCGAAAATATGAAACAAATAGATTAATCTACCAGAGAGGACACTAATACAGGCAACCAAATTTATGAAGTAATTCAAAACATTTGAAAATATTTAAAAACCTGTCTAGGGAGTAAAAATTGTTTTGTAGATCAGTAGTTTTAGTACTTGGCCTCTAATAACAAAAGTAACTGTCTACACGAGCCTGTATATGATGCGTACATTACTTCATATACGCTAACCACTAAAGTACATTTGTACCTTTGAAAAGTCGTTTGTTAATAGAACCGCTGAATAAACGAGGCTTAAATACAAAGGGGGATGATTATCCTGGTGATTGATGTTAATAGTTAAATAATTTGCAATCGATCTCCCTTTAAAATTAATTACTTGCCAAAATTGACGAACAATTACAAATTCTCATAAATAAAATTACTTTGATGTATTAAAAACTTACCTGATGTAAATAATCTAAACCGCATAAACTGTAATGTAATACAGTAGCAATTTCTTCTTCACCAATGGCTTTACCTCTTAAACGCATAATATCAGCTATTGAACCAGCACCACAATATTCCATACATATCCATAAATCTTGACTATCAAATAAACTACCATAGCATTTTACAATGAATGGGCTATCACATTGCTGCATAATTGATATTTCTTTTACTATATCGGCTAAGTCACTGTCAACAGGCACCTGTGAAATAATAAATATGAGAGAGTAGAGTATTGAATGGAAGACAATGAACTTTTTGTTAAAGCAGTGTGTTTTCAACTTCCATATTATAATGATTTTTTTCTTAACATAGTGTTGTACAGTGACAGTCTGAAACTAGTTAAACTTATTAGGATTTTTTTGATATTCCAGTCACCTAGAAAGTTATCAGAGTACAGCCTAACATGGGTGTATATTGACTGAAGTTCCAACATTACCTAACGAGCAAAATTTAAAAAAATGAGAAGCACAGAAAAGGAAAAATATCGAAAAAAATGGCAGCGTAAGCACGAAATACGATTCAGAAGGAGCAAATGTGACTGAAAGATTGAAATTTAATTACTACACAGCTTATTACTTAGTAGATAACAATGAAAGGTCATACTGTGAGGTGGTTGAGATCCTTGACAGAACGTACGTTTGCGAAATTCCAGGTTTTCCCTGAAACGCTTATTTATGGAAATGACATCAGCTGTCTTTATGAGACATTTCAGTTACCACCCATTTGGAAAGAAAGATGGAATCCGAATTTAATTGAAAATATTGGTTGTCAAGCTAAGATTGTGCTATTGTCCCACAAAGACGATAGTTCTAGCGATAGTGTAGTACTTACTAAGAACAGACTCCGCTTATACCATCGTCCTGCCCCAACAGAAATCATTCACTTCGGAGAGTGATATCTGTTTTAAAAAAACCAAACACCATTAGCTAACCTATAAGCCTTTAAACCACTGATTCGGCAAAATGGAATAAACGAGTGAATGATGCTAAAATCGCGTGTACAGTTATGGATAGAAATTGTATGCTAGTAGCGCGGTGAAATTTCGTTGACTGTGATGAATGAGACATGTTGTGTTTTGTTCCATCGCCTAAGCGACAAGCAGTGCTAACCAGTGTAAACTGTTGTAGGCAACCTGAAATATCGAATAATAGTGAAATGTAACACGGATTTTGTAGCACATGAGTACATCGTAACCATTGGTTGCAGACAGTGAGAGATAAGAAGTAGAATTGATTGTTGTGAAGCGGTTTGTATTCATTGTTTATCATCAAACCTTAATAAGACTTGATCAATTATTTATTTATTTAAACATAAATATTGGTACAAAGGGGAACCGAATACATATACACCACACAAGTCACTTGATTTGTGTATGGGCTGTGATACTGCCCGGGTGCCCAAATCGAAACAGGTGATATTTTTAAAGGGGCCTTTGCCCTAAAGGTCTGATCCACAAGGAAGTGCAACAACGTTAGGAGATGCAGTCACATGGTAGGCAGTGACCAATAATTGGTTCATACGCCATTTGTTCCACTAGAATCCTGGAGCCCATGTGTACCATTGTTATGGAGTCAGGGTTTATCAACTCTCCTAGGTGGACCCTCAGTGTCCATCAAACCGTTAAAGCGCCGGACATTCGCTTCTCGACCAATCAATTTCGTAAACAACAGTAATGCCGCGAGAAGGCAGTGAGTAGGACTTCCCTGACAGCAACTGTATGTGCGTGGCTATGCGAGAGCATTTAGAGAGATGACTCTCCCCACACTCAGCTGTACCAGGGCATTTCGGGGCAAAAATGGTCTTACTTATACTTTAATTTGATCCGTTTTTTTCGATATAATTTATCATGTTCAGTTTTTCACTTCAGCCGACAACTTGGAATTAATGTGTTTGATCTCCTGATAACGATTTCAAAAACGCTGCTAAGCAAATTTACTTCACAACTAATGTCTTACCCTTTACGCCCCCTCCCGAGGAAGGAAAAAACAAGATTCAGGCTACAGCCGTCAAGCCACAGATGGATAAACCTCGCAAAATTAGGTTTTAAGGTGTTGAAAAGAACCGTTAGGAAATCAATTAGGACCTTCCTAGGGACCCAATACTAGTTAGGTAGTGCTCTTTATGGTAGTATCTAACGTATTCTGAAGATTTCCTCCATAACTGCAACTTCCGTGTGAAAACTTATTTTAATCACGTCATTACCAACGCATGTGTTTTTCAAAAGTTACTAAGTGCTTGGATTATTGATGGGCATCACTAATTTTAACCCGAATTAATGTGAATTGTATGAATTATAACATAAACACAATCAAAGCGTTGAAAACAATACATTATCGAAACAAATTTAGTGATAAAGCGAGTCTGTAAGTAAAAATCGAAAAAGCACTCGGATCTGGATATAAGTATGCAAGTTAATAGATATATAATATATATTATATAATAGGCGTTTATTTAGTAGGCTGTTACACACCTTCTTTACAGCAACTATCCCACCATTCGCTTTATATCTGGCTTTGTAAACGCTACCATAAGAACCTTTTCCTAATTTGCAAATGATTTCTAAAACTTCCGATGGAGGCTTTGATAATTCAGTATCATCTAAGCGTTGCATTGACCCTGAGTTTATTGTAAGCGCCTTTCAGTTCAAATGGTTCAAATGGTTGTGGACGGAATAGAAGAAGCTTTCGCTTAACAGGCTTCCGTGTCTAGTAGCAGGGGATCACCAAATCCTCCAGGCAGGAACCTAGGTATGTTAACAATAAAAGAGGAAAAGAAATTGGTAAATCATAGTGTGATGCTGTCCTTGGTCCTTAAGAATAGGTCAAGTTGCCTCTTGAAGGACTCCTGAGAAGTCGCTTGGACTAGCTCGGCCGGCAGCGAATTACAGCTTTTGACAACTCTTAAGGAGTAGAAGTTGTGTCTACATTCCGTCTTGCTATGTTGTGTTTCCAGTTTCTGGGTGTTACCCCTTAGGTTATTATTCGAACTAAGCTTAAGTAGGTGTTTAAGAGGATGTCCAGAAGTGTTAAGAATACTATAAGCATTAATAAATCACCTCTAAGACGCCTATACTCTAGTGGGTAAAGGTCTAGTGAACGGAGGCGTTCTTCGTAAGGCTTAGATTTGAGTCCTCGAACTGATTTCGTGGCTCGCCGTTGGATACGCTCCAAAGTGACCTTGTCCTTTTGGAGTGAGGGGGGAGTACTATGTTTCCGTACTCTAAATGGGGACGGATGAAACTATTGAAGATTGTGTGGAAAGTTCTTCCGTCAAACTGGCCAAAAATGCGCCTCAACGTTACCACTGCAAGGTTTGCTCGGAAGGCATTTTTGTCACAGTTAGCGTAAGACTTTAAGTCATGGGGCACCAAGACTCCTAAATCTTTTTCGACTTGGGATACTACTAGAGAGGAGTTTCCTAAGTTGTAACTGTAGTTTGCGACATGTCGCAGATGGACTACTTTACACTTTGAAGTGTTAAAGGTAAGTCCGTTATCGTCTGCCAAACTTTGAAGTCGCGTCAGATCCTCCTGAAGTGCCTGTATATCGTCTTGGTTGCGTATCTCTCTCCAAAGTTTCACGTCGTCGGCAAAAAGTTATAAGTCTGACGTTACCTGTTGAGGAAAATCGTTTATGTAGATCAAGAAGAGAAGAGGCCCTAGTACTGAGCCCTGGGGGACCCCACTAGGACATTCCATAGCTTGAGATAAAGTGAAATTAACCCTAACCTTAAAGTGTCGATTTTTTAGGTATGAAGTAAGCCAGTCGATTAGAGGTGGTTTGATACCTAGTCGTTTGAGCTTGTTGATAAGACACAAGTGGTTAACCTTATCAAAAGCTTTTGAGAAATCAAGGTAAATGACATCAACCTATCCCTTGCGATCGAGGATGCTTGTCCATCTGTCCACCGCAGTCAGCAGGTTGGTTATACAAGAGTAACCCTTCCTGAAACCATTCTGTTGGGGTGAGAAAAAAATTTAAGGACAGTAGATAGTCATTTAAACCGTCGCTTATCAGGGACTCCATGAGTTTTGAAGGTAATGACAAGAGAATATTAAAGATTCCAATAGTGAAAATTAGAACAACACATATAAGCGAACAATTGTTTTCAATTAGATCGTCATCAGGCTTCACTCTAATATACATGAATATTTATACGAAAATTTTTTAAACCAATCAAGGCAATATGAGTCAATAATCACAATGAAATAGAATAAGTCACTACACATAATAGGTAAAAGTACGAGTTGATAGTACGGAGACAGGTGAACAGATAGTGGTAAGAATAATAAACTACAATAACAAAACTCTTATCAATAGTTAATCTTTGGAAATAGAAGGTCAAATAAACAGACTAGGAATAGTAATCACAAAACCTTAAAAATCATTACGTAATAAGATGTGTGTAAATAATTAGATAGTGAAGAATACAAAGAGGCGGATAATAACAAACAAATAACGGATGTGGAAATAAGGTTAACAATAACACAGATAGAATAAAACAAATAATGATAATAACAAAATTTTTAAAATAAAAATAAAAAAACTGTTAGTTAAGTTATAACTGGCCATGGAAGGGATAGGGGAGTCATGTATTTCTTCTGTACACATAGATTGGGGTTATATGTACGAATTCCAATGGCTTCAGCTATATATAGGAGACGGGAACGGACTCCGTCGGGAAATGATGGAGGCATACGATAGATAACTCGAAATGATTTCGGTTTCTCTACTGCATGACCGCTATCAATATGATGTGCTAGTATAGAACTGCGAATAGTTTTTCGCTGACCCTTTAAGTACCAAGTTGGTAGATGTTCACTCATTCATTGGTTAAGTTTCCTGGTAGTAGGCCCTATATAGCTATCTCCACAGGAGCAGCTGAATTTGTAAATGCACATGGAAGAGGCCAACTCAGGTAACTTATCCTTCGTTTGAGTAGACATCGCTGGTCGACAAGAGAAGGTCAACGCAAGATTGGCACATCATATTGATAGCGGTCATGCAGTAGAGAAACCGAAATCATTTCGAGTTATCTATCGTATGCCTCCATCATTTCCCGACGGAGTCCGTTCCCGTCTCCTATATATAGCTGAAGCCATTGGAATTCGTACATATAACCCCAATCTATGTGTACAGAAGAAATACATGACTCCCCTATCCCTTCCATGGCCAGTTATAACTTAACTAACAGTCTTTTTATTTTTATTTTAAAAATTTTGTTATTATCATTATTTGTTTTATTCTATCTGTGTTATTGTTAACCTTATTTCCACATCCGTTATTTGTTTGTTATTATCCGCCTCTTTGTATTCTTCACTATCTAATTATTTACACACATCTTATTACGTAATGATTTTTAAGGTTTTGTGATTACTATTCCTAGTCTGTTTATTTGACCTTCTATTTCCAAAGATTAACTATTGATAAGAGTTTTGTTATTGTAGTTTATTATTCTTACCACTATCTGTTCACCTGTCTCCGTACTATCAACTCGTACTTTTACCTATTATGTGTAGTGACTTATTCTATTTCATTGTGATTATTGACTCATATTGCCTTGATTGGTTTAAAAAATTTTCGTATAAATATTCATGTATATTAGAGTAAAGCCTGATGACGATCTAATTGAAAACAATTGTTCGCTTATATGTGTTGTTTTAATGACAGAAGAGCCACCGGCCGATAACTTGAAGGTTCATTGCGTCGACCACCTTTGAAAATTGGTGTGATGTGAGCCAACTTCCAATTTTCGGGTAATTTGCCTCGGCTAAGCGATTGTGAAATCATCACGCTAAGCGGCGTTGCCAGGATTGAGGCTGCCTCCCTCAGTATGGCAGGATGAACCATATCCGGGCCAGGAGAAGTGTCAAGTCTTAAGTGCTGCAATTTCCGGAACACCAAGTCAGCGCTTAGGTCCACTTCAGAAAGTCCTGTGGAATTGCAGATGAAACTGTCGTCAATAAAGTTGATATCAGCCGGTTGAAATGTTTGAGAGTAATGGGCCGCCAGAAGGTTAGCGGCGTCGCCATCAATGTTGGTCGGGCCGTTAAGACCTAGCAGTTGAGAAACTCCTGTTTTGGCTTGACGAAGAGAGGCTGCATAACGGAATAGGCTTCTAGGGTTAGAGGCGAATTTGTCCATAAGCTTTGTTTGGTACTGAAGCCTGTCTTCTCTTATAGCCTTCGTGCATGTGTTCCTGATATGTTTGTATTGCCCATACGCTCCATCGTTATTAGTTCGTTTGTATTCTGCCCAACAGTGCCTTTTGCGGCTTAGCAGGCGAAGGGTACGGTTCTTGATTACTGTAGGTGGCTTGCAGCTTTTGGGAACCGTTTGAGGAACTGAATGGTTTGTAGCACATAAGAGCGTGGGCAGTAAGAAGTCCCAATGACCGTCCACATGGAGCTGGAGGTGAATATCTCAAACCGCCTGTTGTAGATAGTCGTGTAGAGCTGGCACATTCAGCCGTTTAAAATTCCAACGCAAATTATTGTTGGGATACCTTAGCTTAGTTTTGATGACAAAACTGAAGGCTATGACGGGATGATCGCTCTTTCCCAGAGGAGCCAGGATTGAGAGGTTGTCAACTACGAATTCTTCATTTGTGAATACACAGTCTAAGCGCGATGGTGTCTGACTGTTTCTCCAACGAGTTGCCGACCTCACATTTTCATATAATCCCAAGTTATCGATGAGGTTGAAGAACCGAGCTTCAGTTGAGTTGTCGCCTCCAGTGTACGTGTGTTCCGCGAAGTTGACTCTAGGGAGATTAAAGTCCCCTACAATCAGGATATGAGTGACACCGGGACGAGTAGAGCGGGATAGTCCTTCCAGCATACGACTATCGTACTCGATGTCGGCAGTTGGCTTTCTGTAAATGACTCCGACTAAACACCTCGAAGTACTAGACAATCTTACAGAGCACCATATGGATTCCTCAAGATTGTTAAACTCGAGGTTGTGAACCTGGTGCACCTCCAAGCAAGAGCTTATGTATATGGCAACTCCGCCCCCAATTCCTATTTTTCTGTCGTTGCGGAACAAAGTCATCCCAGGTAATGCTAAATCTTGGTCCGAGAACTGAGAAGATATCCAGGTTTCAGATATTCCTATCAGATGGGCCTTATTAGAGTTGCTAAGTTCACGTAGTTCATCCAGTTTGTTTGTAGACTCGCGGCGTTCATATATAAGCAGTTTATGCTTTCAATTTGGAACGTGTGAGCTTCGTCCTGTTATTCTGTATGAACCTTATGTGAATGGACAGGTAGCCCACCTATATGAGGTTTGCCGAGGTGGTAGGCCCTGTGCTTTACACGCTTTATTTTATCATTTAGACAATACACAAGTGGAATGGTCAGCTCCAACTTGCCTTTGTGCTTGGTCCTAGCTTCATATGGCCTATCCGGGTGCATGTGAATTCCAGGTGGCAATCGACGTCTGTTGGCACGAAATGCTTCCAGAACTGCAGCCGCCACGTGGGAATATGGGAAGGTTATCTTCATTAGACGGGGTCTAAGATCACCGTCCTTCTTGGCTAGTCTCGTCACATGCTGAGTCAGTATGTGTTTGAGCCTCAAGGACTGTTTGATGAATTTCCATTCCCTGATGTCAGAATTTGATTGAGTAGGGTCTGTATTTTCCGGTAT